GACCTGTTAACCCAGGTGTCAAAGCTTAATTGAAGCTTGTCTATCGCTTAACAACCCATGCCCCCAGGGTTCACTTGGCAAAACAACCAAGAGCAAATTTGGCACTTCCAGGCATTATACCAAAATGGCATCCAAAACTGTTAGCATGATACAAACTTCTGACCCGACAAATGAAATTAATCCATGATAGGCTGCTGTACTGTCCGATGTAGGTCATCTCCCAACCAACCCATGTATTTGCCTTCAGCTCAGTCTGAAGCAAACTACTTCAACAGGCATAAGATCTCTTCCATGGGGACAGGAACCCAAGCCTATCAATGTACTCAGCTCCATGCAGGAGACCACATGTGTATCAAAGTGATTCTCCTCAAACCTGACTGAATGGGGAATATAGCAAGGCTGTATATTGCTGTATGGTGTAGCTAACCCAGCACTTTCCTTCCAGCTTACTTCAGGGCTACATCTGTAGTACACACCAGAATTGGGTTATAATTGTATATGGATAGTGTCAGTATGTTGATGCTGTTTGGAGGACGGCTGGGGCATTGAGATGATGGAAATGGCAATTCAAAGCATGTGGGAAAAGTTGTTTTACAACATCCAATCTGATCCAAGTATTTTCCATAACCTATTCTTAGATGCAGGGTTAGCTGATCATAGGGTATTGGATTTTGTTTGAGCGGCCCGCAGCCTCTTCTCCCCGCCGGCTGGCGTTTTTCCCTTCACCGCACAGCGGTTCCCACAGCTGTCCCCTGCTGCCTCCTGCTCCTTCAAGGCTGGTGGTTATATTTCACCAGAAGATGGCAGTAGACCTGAGTCAGCACTCTTGCCACGTGACCCTTGTGACACAAGGATTGTGTGCCCATTTCTAAAATGGCGACTGTAACTAAAAAAAGGAAAGTTGACAGCGAGGGCCGCCGCTTCCAGGACAAGTGGAAATTGGAGTATTTTTTCACTGAAATACAAAACAACTGTGTCTGCCTAATTTGCCAAGGGACTGTGGCTGTTTTTAAGGAATTCAATATCAAGAGGCACTACCAGATGAAACATGCTAACTACAACAAGCTAACTGGGAATGAAAGTGGTGAAAAATTAAAGGAACTGGAAGCTGCTTTAATGGCACAGCAGCACTTTTTCATAAGAGACCGTGAGTCAAATGAAAATGCCACAAAGGCGAGCTATGAGGTGGCAATGCTGATTGTCAAGCACTGCAAACCTTCTACTGAGGGTGAATTTATTAAAGACTGCATGATGAAAATGGTGGAGAAAATTTGTCCTGAGAAGAAGCAAGAGTTTGCCAATGTTTGCCTGGCTCGTAACACTGTGGTACGGAGAACTGAAGACGTTTCATTTGATATTAAGAGACAGTTAGAGGCAAAAGGAGTAGAGTTTGACTTTTTTTCATTAGCCTGTGACGAAAGCACGGATGCATCTGACACCACTCAGTTATTGATTTTTTTTTTTTTTTGGAGTGGACAATGACATGAACATGAGTGAAGAGCTACTTGACCTCCGGAGCCTTAAGGACCAAACAAGAGGAACAGATTTGTTTCTGTTTGTTCCGCCGTAGATGACATGAAACTATCATGGAATAAAGTCACTGGGATTATTACGGATGGTGCACCTGCCATGGCTGGCAAGCGAAGTGGATTATCAACCCTAGTCTGTAACAAAGTCAGCGAAGAAGGAGGCAAAGCTATAAAACTCCACTGTATTATTCACCAACAGGTTCTCTGTGCCAAACATCTGAAATATGATCATGTTATGAAACCGGTGATGAAGACTATTAATTATATTCGCTCCAAAGCCCTGTGCCACCGCCAGTTTCAACAGTTTCTACGTGACATCCAGGCTGAATACGGAGATGCTGTGTATCACAATGAGGTAAGATGGCTCAGTCTGAGGTCTGCACTGCAGCGCTTCTACTCTCTTAGGGAGGAAATCGGACAATTCTTGGCAAAAAAGGAACAACCGATGCCAGAGCTATCTGATCCTGTTTGGCTGGCTGATTTTGGATTTTTAGTTGACATAACACGACATCTGAACATGCTGAACACAAGCCTTCAGGGGCAAAATGCAGTGGTAAGCCAACTGTATTCACACATCAAAGCCTTTGGGACCAAGCTGCTACTTTTCCAAAGGCACCTGTCACAAATGGAGCCCAGTACCACACATTTCCCATCGCTGCAAGAAATAATGACCAGTTTTCCACAGAACAATATGAATATGCAAATAAGGAGGTATGAAGCAGACAGATCAGCGTGATCTCTGGCTGAGGAATTTCAACAGCGCTTTCGGGATTTTGCAGCTATTGAAAAGGAGATCACGCTTTTTTCATCTCCTTTCTCTGTGGACACTGACGACGCTCCAGACCACCTGCAGCTGGAGCTCATTGAGCTGCAGTGTGACGCCAAGTGTCTCAGTCGGCACCAACAGCTCCCTCTTGTCAACTTTTACCGCCAGCTGGATAAAGACAGGTTCCAAGAGATTCGAACATTTGCTAAGAAAATGCTGAGCTTGTTTGGTTCGACATACTTGTGCAAGAAGACATTCTCGGTTATGAACATTAACAAGAACTGTGTGAGGACGAGACTAAGTGACTTTCACCTGCGTGACATCTTGCGCATTAAAACCACTGTTTTTGAGCCAGACCTGGCCTATATAATGCAGTCGAGATCTCAGTATCACCCTTCACATTAGTGCAGTTATTTGTTTAGTCTTTCATGAAATAGTTCATTTGCATTTAATGTTAATGGTTCAAAGAATGTTAGGCTGAATGGTCGGCCCCCACACATTTTCACCTCACCAAATCTGGCCCTCCGTGCAAAAAGTTTGGACACCCCTGCCCTACAAGTACCATAGGAAAGGAAAAGGCAGCATTGATTTCAATTGTTGAGGATGAGTTAAAATAGATTAACATGTATTCCTAAATCATGCTTTCAGGAGATGAAGTGGGAAACAATAAAGGTACTTGACGCAACATGAAAGAGCAGCAATGACCCTTGACCTTTTTTCTGAAATGATGCTAGAATCATTACAGGAAAAAAGCTAAGTGCTGTTTTTCAGAGCTTATCATGTAAGCCTTTTACATCTGAAATTACAGTGGCCATTTATTTCTTTTCAGTTATCATAATTGTTTGGCTGTCTTATAAAATAGTTGAGATGTAACCCTTAAATGCTAACATAAAAACATGGCCAGATATTTTACAGTAATGCTCAGCCAAGACAACAGCTGCCTCCTGACAAAATTAGTTTTTAGTAACATAATACAGAGCAAAAGTCCCAAATACATTATGACTGCCATTACTCTGAAGACATTATCTTGGCATATGGTAATTTACCTTAGTTTGCAAAGACTTATTTTAAGCATGCCCTTTTCCTGACTAGCTATTTCTGCTATGAAAGGCATCATGGAATAAAGATGGTCCTTTCTAAGTTTAGGGCAACTAAGGAATATTGTAAGAGTTGCTTTAACATCAGAAGGGAAAGCATGCAAAATATCACTGCATATTATTAAAGTCAGACACAAACAGTCTTAGGCTATTTGTAATATAAGTTAAATAGAAATTAACATAACTTTATACAATGTGTTAAATCTTTTTTCTTAAGTGTGATAACAGCCTTCATTTTTTGTTAAGGCTGTTTCTGGATGATGCTTTTCTTACACTGCCTCAGTATGGCATTTTATTTGTGGTTGAGTCTTGAAGTGGCCATCTTCTTGTTGTAATCCTCCTGTGTTTGCCCACTTTGTTTTTTTAAGCAAGAAATTTGCTAGGGAAGAAAATGAGCAAAAGCAGCACAATATCTTTAGATTGCTATCACTACACATCTGCCTGGAAGTTGTTAAAATCATGATTAATAATAACAACAAAATAGCTCATAAACAAACAATTTGAAAATGGAACTAACAGAGCAATCATGAAATAATATTTTGACAGTGATTTATGTACTCTTCGTGAGATGGTGATGAGTAAAGTATTCAACAACAGTAATTTTTCTATGGAGGTAGGGGAACAGAAGTATCAACTAAATCAGGGGTCCTCAAACTTTTTCAACAGGAGAACAGTTCACTGTCCCTCAGACTGTTGGGGGACTGGGCTGCACATTAACAAAATAATTAAAATAAAATTAATTAAAAAATTAATTAAAAATTTAAAAATTAATTAAAAATTTAAAAAAAGTTTGATCGCTTGCTCGGAGAAGGCCACAGCGGAGGCATGGGAGCCCTTTGGCTTTCTCTGAGTAAGTATTCTCCCCCGCAGCTTTCTCCGAGTAAGGTGGTCCACCTCAGTCTGTCTGCCCCAGGTTTGGCAAGGCAGTCGCGGTGGCTTGCTCCCTTGGAGAGGGCTGTGCAGCTGGGCCTGGGCATGGTAAGGTGGTGGCGGGCCTGGGCATAGCGAGGCAGCAGCTTGATCCCTCGGAGAAGGCCGCATGGCCTGGCTGCCCCTGGGCTCACATAATTAAAAATAGGTTTTAAAAAGGTCTTTTTCTTACCTTCAATCCTTTTTTAGTTTCTTTGTCTTCGTCTCTTCCAACCACCTCTCTTCTGTTTCCTGCTCCATATTCCCGCTCTGTATATGCGTGCAATGAGGAGGGGGGAGAGCTGGGGCACACGCAGTTGAGCTGTTGTAATTTGGCGCATGTGCCGGATCTCTCTCTGCTCTGTTTTAAATAATGCCTGTGCCGGCTCAGAGCTTTTGGACTTGTTCAGAAATCGTTTTCTCCGAGCGAGTCCAAAACCTCTGAAGCGGGCCAGATAAATGGGCATGGCGGGCCGGATCTGGCCCACGGGCTGTAGTTTGAGGACCCATGAACTAAATAAATCTTTTTTGCAGATGACATAGCCCTGATGCTGTAAGAGCCAACCACTGAGTAACTAAAAGCTATGAGAGGCCGATCAATGAATATGGGCAAGTTGCAGAATGAAGAATTAATCTAAGCCCAGAATTCTGTTTCAGTATGAGTAATACCCTAGAAGCAGTTACTGGTATGCCAACCTGTTCCAATAAAATTAACTATTAGGGAATAAACTTTCCAAAGGACTGCACAAATCAGTTGAACTATTGATTATTTATTCATTAGATTTTTAGCCTGCCACATTAGCCACATGGCTCCCTGGGCAGGTTATAGACAAACTAATCTATTTCCCATTTTTAAAACAAACTGAAGCCAAATTAAAAGCTTGGACACAACTAGAGATATCCTGGCTTGGTAAGATGATGGTAATAATGGTGATCTTACCAAAATTAACCTACCTGTTCCAAATGCTCCCAGTCATCATTCTGAAAAACTCATTCTAAAAATAGCAACAATATTTTTATTTTACTCATGACTGAAATGCACCTCAGCTTTAAAATAATTCCTATAAGGAGGAACAGCAGCACATATTCAATTTAAGCTCATACTTTATAGTATTCCATATCAAACAAATGCTACATATTCTGTTGAAAGACTGGTTGGAAATTCTCTAATACAATGTAACTAAGGGTTTTCATCAAACATGCAGAGATCACCCACTGCCACATTCCCCAACTGTTCTGACTCTGTCCCAGTCTACTCTTATTAGACAGAGAGAATAAGGATGAAAATGCTGAACAAACTGAAATATATTCAAATTAACTGGACAAACGCCTGCAAAAGGAACATATACTGGTACTTCGCTAGCTGTAGCATCCAAGATGAAACTAATATCCACAAAGGGCTCCAAAAATTGGTCACAGTAGGCTACTAAACATTTCTCCTTTCCATCCTGGGAGACAGGGTACTTGTGGGAGATTCAGAAGGGATAAAAGCAAGTACTTTTTCACATAGCACATGAACTATGCAATTTGATACCACAAGATGTAGTAATGACCACCAGCTAGGCAGCTTTAAAAGTGGATTAGATCAATCCATGCAGGTTACGACTGTCAGTGGCTACTGGCCATTCTGGCTATATCTCACCACAAATATCAGAGGCACAATGATACCTCAGAATGTTAGTTCCTGGGGAGCATGAGCAGAAAGGTATTACACAAATTATATCTTGTGGGATTTGCAGTGATAGGTGTTTGGCTACTGAGTGACCAGAATTCTGGGCTCGGTAGATCTTAGTTCTGATTCAGCATAGTTAATCTTACACTCTAAAAGAATGAATTGGACAGCAGATGCAGTAAGATTTCTTGGCTAACATCACAACCACTGATTAGGCTTTAATATACTGCAGGAGCAACAGAATCCCATCCAGTACAAAGAAAACTTTCCTTCCAATTAATTTCTCCTAGTGACCAACAGCACATCTTTTTTCCTTTGGATCATGCCTCACTTTATTAGCCTTCATTTCATCCACTGTTGCCCTTAGAAACTGGTTTTAAAACTTACAATGCTTAGCATCAGATGAGAAGGAGACAGAGCTATGTATTATCTGCATACTGATGACCCCGAGGATGAACTTGCAGTGTGAGCTTCTGAAGTCTCATTCTTTTCGATTGAATACATGTAACTTGTTCAATGCGATCAAGTTCATGAACCAAAGGTGACAGATTTACTACTTTGAATAGCAGTTCCCAGACCATATTGTAAATGTGAGGGGAGGTTGGTAAGCATTTCGCTGCCTCGAAGGAAATGGAAAGTTCAGCAGGAAAAGTGCAACATGTCCCAAGCTAATGCAAATGCCCTGCATGGTACTTCAGTATTAGATTGTAACCCAGCCCACATACAATATTCAGAATGTCCGCCTGCCCCCAAATGAAATCCGTGGACCCTGTCCTCACAAAATTCATTTTAAGTATTAAAACTGAATGGAAAGCCCATCTTGATTCTAGCCACTCTCTAGTTCACCCTTCTAACAGCTCAGCAAAAGTACATATTAAGTGACAGATTCCCAGTAGGCATATGTCCCCATGCCAGTATTTCAGGGTGCTCAGTATTTGAGGATCAATAGGTAATCCTAGTGATCTCCTAATGTGATGATATCATATGATATCCTAATATCATATGATGATATTATGAGATCATCCAATCTTGGAGAAAAGATTTAATTCATTTAATTCTGTTGCTGTCCTAGAGCATTTAATAGTAGCAATGAAACTTCCACCTGTATTTGTAAATTCTACAATACCATAAAGAATTCTGATGAAAATGAGCAATACTAATATTTAATTTTCTAAGAAAATTCAAATAGCAACAAATAAAGTTTTCAGCACTGGCAAAGATGCCAAGAATACAATAAGCATGAACAAACACATTGTTTAGGTTTCACAAAATATTCTTAAAGAAAATCACTATTAGGTTACAAGTAAGCATTAAAAGACCTTTTTTAAATATTTGTGCCATTTATGCTATTCTGTAAACATAGCTTTATTGAAGTTCACCCCTTTAATTCTTCCAGATTTTAGTGTCAAGTGTAAACATGAGATCATGCAATGAGTCTTTCCTGTCCTTTCTTTTCTCCTGCAGCTCTCTAAATCTGGTTTAGAACATTAGAACTCCAGAGCAGGTTGGTGGAAGTTTTCTTACTTATGCTGGTGGAATAACATTGGATACAACCCAAGGTATAGGATTATAGTACAGAGAGTGAAATCCTGTACTTACTAACCTAGGACTAAGTACTATTGAACTTCTAAGCAGACATGTGTAGGATTGTGTTGTCAGAAGTGGGGAAACTTGTCTGTACTGTGTGCCCCACAGATACTGCTTAGTGTCACAGTTACAAAATATTAGTCTCAGGTCAACAGATTGAGCACTGTACTTCAAACTGAGAAAACACCTTTAAAAGTCACAATTAATTGGATGATTTTATATTAAGAACATTTAACCCTAAAAATAGTTTATACTGGTTTCAAAGTAATTGTTAATTCCATTAGTTGTCATATTCACTCTGCCTTTTGAAACATCTTTGCCATGTATTTTCTAGTCTTTTCTTGGATAATTTCAGGCATTTGCCCGTGTTTTTATCTCTGTATCCTGCTTAGTTATTCATTTCTTCAAATGCTAACTATTTATGATCTCTTATGTCTATTTTCATTAACAGCCACCTACAGAAATGAACTCTCATGAAGACATACTAATTCATTGAAACAATTATGTTCACAGAAGCCTGGCATATAAGAATAAAAGCAAGACTAAATAATCCATCTCAGTTTGTAGGAGCATGCAGGATGCTCTTGTATTTATGGGAACAATCATGTCCAATCCTAGCTATAATTGGAGGTATAATCCAGAAACAGATCTGCTTGTGATAATGGACCTCAGTGACCATGAAAAACAGCTGTTCCCATCATTTAAAAAAAGAAAGCTTATTTTATTATCAGCATACAACAAAAGTAACTCAAAAGAAAGTGATTTTTAATCATCCTACCGTGCATGCATAAATTAGAAATTGTGCTTTGTAGCATACATTAACTCTAGATTTGTTTATCTTTTATTTCCCTTCTGAAAGACAAATAAAGACATCTACAACAAAAATATACAATAATTATGAGCATATAAATGTTCTATTAAATGTGAAAGGCCATTACTGAAGAAACTTTAAAATGTAATTGACAGCATCAATTGCATGTCATTAAAATGGAAAACTGACATACAGAAGCTGAAAGAGAAATTTAAAAGCCTTTCTTGGCATTTTGGTTTATCACTGGACTAAAGTGGACGTAGCATGAAGAGTTTTGAAGTTTTAATGTCTCTAAAAATCATGTTTCATTAAAATGCACATGAGACAATGTATACTCTACTTCAGCAAAATATCTGCATTTGCCTTATTTCCCAGTTAATTTTAATGTACATTCTCACTAAGGTTAATTACTTTAGAAGATACTTGTACTTGTTTAAAATGTATAGAATTATATTCTTATGTAGCAAAAATAGCTATATAAAAGATTCAAAACTTGAATCCTGACAGCAGTTTTATACAAAGGAAAGTTAATAGTAACAGCATGTGAACTGCAGATAGACTGGCAGAGAGTTTTAGAAATCAGGCAGAGCAATTGTCTGTGCCACAGGAGAGCGACCCAGGGAAAAAAGGACATGCCAGACACTGTGGCCAGACACTGGCACAACCACAGCAGGAGGAAGCTAAGATTGGATTATTCCCCATTTCCCTTATCTCCTTGCAGCCATTGTAGAGAGCACGGCAGTGACTGCTTTCTCAAACTCACAAGAGTGACGAACTCAATGAGAACAAAAACAGGGAATGCGAGCGAGCAAGAAGAATCCAGGATCCTTCAGCTATCTCATTCATAATAAGAAAGGTCAGCTAGATGATCCAAAAAAGATTCATCTAACTGAAAGTATAAAGAAAAGGAGGAAATGGAAGCATTTATGTCTCCATGTTCCTCCCACTCTATCTAGCTCTGGCCTGCACGTTATGGGATAGAGAGAGGCCTCCCATTCCAGATCCTTACTCTATAAAATAGCAATCTCTTAGGATTGTGCTATAAAGAACTGAAAAGCAGTCGGCATTTAACACTGGAAGATGAAACAGAAAGCTGATATGCCTGTCTGTTTTCTGGAAACAACATTTTGGAACAACATGCTATGATAGGCTGGCTTGTTTTTAACTTGACAATTCATTGAATACCTATTGTTTTAAGTTAGGATCTATCTAATACATTATTTTAACATTTTCTGCCTTGGTATACATAAGGTTTTATTTATATTCCTTTCTAATCTCTGTGTTTATATGCTAAGATCTCTGGATTCTACCATACAAAATATTATATACATAGAATTTTTAAAAATGGCATTAAAATCCATACTTATAAAATCAGCCCAGAAATAGTGCACCAGTCACCCTAATTCAATTCCTATAATCCATGACAATTATGTGTACCAAAGGTTCACATTCTGCTCTTTTTTTCCATATTGTCAAAGAAATTTTTGTTAATTAGTAAACAAGACCCCCCACATTAGTGTAAACACAAACAAATGCTGGCCTCTATTCTGTAAAAATGAAAAATCTTCAAATAAAAGTAATCATCTACAAAATATGATTTCTTTTACAAAACATTACTTAAAGCCTACATTAATTTTAGTTTCCTCTTTTTAATTAAATATATAGTACTGAATGATCAAATACTATAAACTAAGGTTAACAGCTTCTGTGCTTAATTTACCACCACTTAAACTGTGTATCATTGCTATCATATGAGAATGTTTGTTCAGCTCCTCTTGCTGGAGTTTGACTAAGGCTTCCTTTTCTTCCAAACGTCCTTCCAGCTGTGACTTCTGAACTTCCAAGGAAGATACCTAAAGACATACATTGCATTCAGTTCAATCACTTTTCTCCAACATACACAGATTCCATCACCTAGAAAACTGGGTGAAAGCAAGACTCCATTCATGAATCACACAAAAACATGATTTAAATTGACAATCGGCAGTTGCAATTTGACAGTAAAGCAGAAATCAAGAGCTATGTGCTGAAATGAATTTGCAAGCCACTGTTTGTGCTAATTATATTTTGGCTTAGTATCTAAATTGGTAAGGCAATAATTATGACCACTGCTCCCACTGAAGAGGCTGCTGTATTATGAGAGCTTATGAATTGCTGGGAGGACAAAAATAAAAAACAAACAAGCAGTTATTTATTTTATTTTATTTATAAAATTTGTATGCCTTAGAAATCAAAGTTTGCTTTTAGTGTATGCAGATTATACACAATAACTAGCAAAAGGCAGGGATTGGAGTGATATCTGAGCTAAGTTTGTTTGTGTGGGTTTACTTAAGAAAAACACCAATACACATTATTAAATCACACAGGAAAATATGCTCAACACATTGAGGCTTCAACAAACAGATTGAAACCAGCTGATGGCTGCAAAGCCAAAGTAAACAAACTACTGGCTAACAGTACCACCATACTCAACTCCATTTGGAATAGTCTAAGACACGAGCCTGTATATCTGTACAACTAAAGCTCATTAAAACAGACTGCAAGGAAGGGTATGCTTTAGTCAAAAATCCCAGATGTGTTCATACACAGACCATGAGGATACTCTTCAAGTTAAAAAAACAAAGTAATATATTCCAAGAAACTCAAAAGGACATTTTTGCTTCAAGCAAAATGCCTACAGAGTGATATTGGCTGTCGGAAGAGATTAGAGCTCAAAGCTCAGAAATTTGATCTTCCAAGACACTGAACAAGGGTTAAAAATCATTCCAGTTGCATCAAGTCTGATTCCTTGCTAGAAGTAAATTCCACTGAGTTCCATGGTGCTTACTCCCAGGTAAAGATCAAAGTCTCCACTATTCAGGAATGTTTGCAACTGTGGTATTTACATTTGTTAATTCCTTGACTCCCCCTTTTTTTGCTAACAATGGCATAAGTTTCTAAAGAAACTTACCTTAATGCTCAATTCTTTTCTTGCTTGCTCTGTTTTACTCAACTCTTTTCTAAGGATGTCAAGAGTCTCTTCCATATCTGCCTTTTCCTTATGTCTGGCTTTCAGTTTTTCTTCCTGTATTTTTACTTTCTGTTGCAAACCTTTTGAAGAATTTATAAGAAAAAGTCATGCTTTTGCAAAAAGCCCTAAAATCATAGACATCAGTATTTCTCCATAGCAAATATTAAATGAATTGCACAGCACTGCCATCTACTGAACACTGGTATATTGTGTTTTACATTATTCAGTGTTTGCCTGCACAAGCCTTGAAGTTATATGCTATAATTTATTGCAAAAATGTATTAAGACATTTGATCTCATGGAAATAACTTGGAGCTTTTCTTACTGACTTTAAAGAATTACTCAACCTATCTGAATAACAAATATGCAATGGAAGCTACTGTAGCCACAAGTTGGTCATAAGGAGAGGCATTCTTATCACTTCTGCTTTCAATTAAAATTTTATGATTGCACCATGCAAAAGTTAATAGTGAATGGTGACATCCAGTGACACCCCTGGACATCTGAATCCAGTCAGATAGGGTTGTTCAGGGATTAAACTTTTAGTTTACCAAACAAAAAATTGTATCAGTATGTTCAACTTAATATTTCCCACTAATCCCTGACATCCCAAGGATTATCTTGATGTACAAACTGGCACTTACAAGCAGTACTAACTTGTGACTGCACTAGTTACTTGTAGCTTCTCCAATGTTGCTTATCTCACATCTGCTGCCATTGCAGTATTTATACAAAAAAACCCCCTATCTCACAGTATCTGTACAATTCTGTGTTTGTGATTTATGCACTGATACTTTGGGAAATTCCCAATTAAATAGCAGAAAGTAACAGCCCAAAATACTCATGCAACATTACAGGCATGCTACAATTGTCAGTTTAAGCAGTTTAACCTCTGAATCCAGAATGTGCTCTTGTTCAAACATGAGCAAATTTCCAACCACCAAAGTAATCCAGATTATAACAATGATCCAAGGTAGTCATTACAGTCTCCAAAGTAAAAATGGTTGTAATATTACATCTAACTAAAGAAATTACTGTCTGAAAGCTTTTCCTGAATTATGATGTAGTTTTAACTTCATACATGCAAAGCTTTTAGTGTAATTTTAAAATTATAGAATAAATACATTTTCTAGCCTTGGTTTTATAAAGTAAGAAATATGCTGAAGTTAATATAGTGAATATCAGAAGTCAGAATTCTTTAGTGTTAACTCACTCGATATTTTTCCATCTTTATCTTGCAATTGTTTCTGCAATTCTCTTCTATGCTCTTCTGTTTCTAGCAACTGAGTGACAGTTCTGAAAAATTGCAAGGTACATACATTAAAAGTAGAATGACTATTAGAGGAGTCTTTCTGTCTTTATGCTGTCATACTATAGTGACATGAGTGTCATGCTGAATCAGCCCAAGGGTACATTTTTGATCAGGATTGTATTAGCACAGCATCCAACCAGATACCTGTCAAAAAGTAGGAAACATATAGTGCATATACTTGTACTGCCTCTGATGTAAGAGGTGGTATATATATATATTGCCATCAAAACTAGACCTTCTATTAGTTTTATTCTCCTTGAGTATGCCTAAATTCCCCTTTAATTAGCATTTTATTAGAATGCTTCATTTCTCAATACAAATAGTAAATCCTGCTCCTTTCCCCTCCCCTTTAGATTTCCTCCTACCTTCTAAATATTATTCTGAATTGAAAGCATAAAGGTTTTGCACCTATAAGTAAAATCATTAAGCAAATGTTGAAAGAAGTTACACAGAACAAATAAAATAAAGTAAAAAGCATCATGTCAAGAATTCTTCTTTGCTGGTCTGAAATCGTTTTGTAGTGGAACACATCACTCTTTATTTAAATTATTTAAGATAACTTCCCCATATCAATAGGAATTTATTTTCTTTTAGTAATGTGATATAACATACTTTTTCATGGGCAAAAGATCCTGAATCTAACTGTGCATATTTATTCCATTATTATAGAATAGTATGCTTAACTGTTAATCTGGCCTGCTACTAGATGATGCAGCATGCTCCCTCTGAAGTCTTAAAGATGGAACATATCCCGCTAAGGACTGGCTATCTTCTACACTGAATGAGGTTTCCAGGACCATGTTGATCTTGGCTAGAAGACACTTCACTATTGCATAACTCCAACACTAGCTAGTTTTGCACTAGATTAGTTTGCAAATTGCTATACCTCCAACACATATTATTCTGTGACTAAACATTTGAATTATTCTGGTATCCAATATGCCTTGTATAAAACTTATATAAGTTAGAAACCTCAAAACCGTATTCCAAGTGCAGGTGCATCAAAGAATTGCATAAAGGCACTATGATGTGCCAATTTTATTTTCAATTCCTTTCTTAATGATGCCTGACATAGAATTATTTGTTTTTCATTGCACAGAATTATTTGTTTTTCCTTTCACATACTGGGTTGATAATTTTATAGAGATAGGCACATAACTCCAAGGTCTTGATTCCTTGATCAGTCATTGCTAATATGGATCCCATCAGCATTTATGTAAAGTTTGGAGTTTTTGCCCTGATGTGTGCCCATTTTACATTTTCATATATTGAACACTATTTCTCATATAATGCCAGTTCTTCCAGTTTGGAAATAATTTGGCATAACCACTTCAATGCTCACCTCTAAGTCCAGATCATTTACAAACAAACTGAAAAGCACTGGCCCAAGTGTGACCCAGCTTTTCATATCCCTCAATAGAGAGAGTTCACCGTTCATTGGCATTCTCTGCATCTTGTTCTTTAACCAGTTATTTCCCTATAAGAGGACCTGTATTCTTATCTGATGAGTGTGACATTTTCTCCGGAGACTTTGGTAAGGGATTTGGTCAAAATCTTTTAGCAGACCAAGTAAATAATGCCTACCAGATTACTCTTGTTCACGTGTTTACTGACACATAACTAATAACGTTGAGTGATAGGTAAGAAATGTGAACTTTTCAACTATATACTTAATATGTATTCAGATATTTTTTTTATCTATGAAAAGATAAAGTCAATGTTCTTTCACACTGTCAGCCTCCAAAACAAAGATCTTGCTGCACAAGTAAAAGCAGAATACCAACCATAAACATATGCAAAACCTAACCTAACATTAGTTTTGATATGCAAAAATGCTGGCCATATTGTTATTTATTAATTCAACACCATGCTTTAGATGGGATTTTTAAATCTTACTTGACATTCAAGCGCTATGTATTAGAAAAATCACATAAAAGAACCACAGATCTTATCTCTCAGTTTAACTGAGAAACAAGAATATCATCACCACCATTAACGTCAACTGGGTTTCCCCCCGCTCCAGTACCCATGCCAGGAAATGCTGAATGTGTCTAAGTCTAAATAACCTATATGAATGCAAAAATTAATTTTTAAAAAGTTTGGATAGGATTTAGGAAATGTACATAAAATGAAGTAGAGAGGGGAGATTCAGTTCAATAATATCTTAGAAAACTGGATGTACATCTGAATTCTGACACTATTCTTCAAAAAAAGTTCATAGGAAAAAATAAGTGTCATAATCCAATGATAGGAAGTTTTATAAGAAAAATCACCAGTGCATACACACATATACTTCTACCAAACATATTTCTTCTTTACAAAGTTCCTATAGCCATACCCTAAGTTGTTTGAAACTAATAATTTGACTATTTTTTGAATGTGCAGTTGTACAAGAATACCATTCTGGTTAAACTGCATCTCTACTGCTGAACTATACTTTTTTTTTCAAAAATACTGTTTTAGGAGTAATCTCTGCCTCATCCCACTCCTGCAGCCCCCAATTCACATTGAAATGCTGGGGACCCTCCTGAACAGCATGGGATAGGGAAGAGGGGGGAGCTGCAGAGGAAGGAGGCAAATGCATGAAACTGCATGGAAAGATCCTGGACCTCTATCAGTAAATTTACTTCCACTGACACAACTCAAGACCAAACATGTTTTATTCTCAGTCTCTCTGGAGATATATCATTCAGATAAAAGTCAAGTTTCAATGTCAACCATGAAAAGTACAGCATATATTTTAAATATTCATATGTAAACATAAACTTGAAAGCTTAGTGTTAACCAATTTCAAAATGCTTTAAAAAGTGTAACACTACACATGCATTTCTAAACTTAAAAAAGCAAAATAAACTATTAAAATATTTTAGTAATAACTAAGTTCATTTTACTGCAGGTCATTTGGTCCAGGTAATTTATAATGTTCATAACAGTTCTATGGAAAATTAACACCACATAACGGAAATCAAACTATGAAGCACATTTTTCAGAATATTTGCAAAGATTAAAATTTCTAGCATTTTTAAAATTAAAATCTAACATTTCACTGAAACAACAATCATTTAATTCTAGAAGTGAACTTACATGTCATTCTGTTGCTTGAGAGATTCATTTTGTCTCTTACTGGTTTCAAGTTGTTTATTTAGTGAATGACATGTTAGCTGTAGATCATTATATTGTTTTTCAATAATCTCATACCTAAAATATTCAAAGTGCTGTTATTTTAAAGTTACATGGCTTTCTATAACATAATATTTTGATAACACATGTTAACGTTCCTGCTTTCAAAATTAGAACATTACAGGATGTGCTTACACATATCTGGCATGGCGGGGGGGGGGGGGTTGCAGCTTAAAACCAACATTCAGTCTCAGATTTTTAAATGTTTTACTTTTAAACTATGATTAATTACCTAGTGAACTTTTTCTACTTTTTCATGTAGCTCTAGTAAAATGGGCCACCATCCAGGAGAATAACTATAAATTGAGAACTAAGTGTGTTTTCTGGCAGCTTCACCTAAGTGTCACCCATGAACAAAGGGACCTGGTTCGCAGAACATGACAGCGCACCATAGTTTAATTTACTTACAAAGATTGCTCCATGTAAACTCAGGCAGCAGGAGTTATTTGAAGGTTAGAGCTTCAAATAACCAATGGCTTATTTTGAACTTCTTTGGAAGTTATCTAACCCTTAAGTGACTTCTGACAATGGGTTTGTATTAAATAACTAGCTACAACAAGTTGGACGACCATGGCCACCTAAAATACCACAACAGCTCCCATGACTAAATTAACAAGAGGAATGAAATGACATATTGTATTGCCCTAATGGAAATTGTACTGTTCACTCCCTTCCCTAGTTTCCCTTTTCCAACTAACCTTTTACACTCCACAACTATTGAACATTCTTAATCCTAACTGTGCAATTTTTAGTTTTTATTTTCAAAGGCTATTTGTATTGCAAAACTTGGCATTCTTCTGAGCATGCTGATGACTCTTGATGACTGTTTAATTCCATTTCTTGTACTCAAGATCTGAGTTCATGATTAGAAAGAGGGATAAAATTGTTCCCACATTAAGCAACAGTACAGGAATGACTAACATTGATTCCATGTTAAGATCAATCATTGACACCTAAATTTGCAAGTCAGGTGCAAATTTGCAAATCAGAATATAGAGACCAGTAATTTTATGAAACAAACTTTTTACTTATACTTGTGTGGAATCATATCTTAAAGCTCACTTCAGGTTCCTACACTTACAGCCTAAACTTTCAAACTGTGAGTCAGGATTCTTGAGTTATGATCCGCTTCTGGAATATCAGAAGTGCCCTCATCTTGTACAAAAGTGCTTCTCCTAACTCTGACCATGCATCAAATTGATCTGGTGTTCTGGATAATATAGTTTTAGTTTCACAATAGCTGCCCTACTTCACCCACACACAGACAATTTCTAGAAGCAAGTAAAAACCTTTCACATTTTAGAAGTACCTCTGTTCTGGAGAATACACATATCTGTACAATTTTGCTGAGTAGAAATAAAATGGAAGGTTTTGCTTTGGAGAGAGTAAGGAGAGGGATTTTTTCAAAAACCCTTCTGGGCACATATTTCATAGCAGTGCAACTTCTTACTTTTGAAGAAGGTCAGTGGAAGAGCTTTTCAATATTTCATGTTCTTCTGCTATTGCCTGCAGCTTCCTATTGTGCTGAAAGAGTTGCTCAATATCACTTTGTGCCCGTTCAGATTCTACCTGCTGTGCTTTCAGTAATGCTTCAAGATCTTCATTTTTTCGTTCAGCATCCTTCAACATGGAAGCAAGTGTCCTAGCCTTATAGAAAAAAGATAGGGGGAAATGTCACTGGAGGCTTAAACATTTGGTTCAGCATTCCATAAAATGCGTAAGGTGCTATGTGAAAGGATATTTGCTTGCCAGGGGAACAGACACCTTGGGTGGAACAGATTTTTCTCCAGTGCACTCCCTCAAATCTGTTCTGGGGGTCCTCTGGAACAGATTTGCGGTATCCACTCACAAGACACCAAACAAATGCAAGGACCTCTATTTGGCTTATGAGAATTCCTTATTAGACCAGTCTCTTCCAAAGGGCACCAAGCTGTTTTACAATGAATACCTGTTAAAAGGGCTTTAGAAACTTCAATGACTCAGAAAGTAAATCAATCTGAAAAGTAAGAGTCCCAGCTAGGCAAAAAACTGGCCTCATGAAGGTGGCACTGATGTATTTTTTCCAAGTGAGGATAAACTAGATTAATAATACACACTGTTGCAGGCAATCTCGCATTAGTAATTATAAGCATGCATCAAATTAGCTTTGATTGAATGATTTCAGTTTCACCCACCTCAGACTCAGCTTGAGCTCTCTGGCAACGGTACTGGGTAATAAGTCTATCAGCTTGAGCTAGAGCCAATGCCTTCGCTTCTAAAAGGTCTTGTAACCGAGTTTCTTTAGACTAATAAGAAAATGGAAATAAAATAATTTCATGTACAAGTAGAGCCAAATAATGCAGATGAAACTAATCATGCTTATTAAATATGTACTCACTGCTAATGCAGACAGTTTCTGCTCATACACATCCATTATTTCAGACACCCTTACATCTGTGACTGATTCCTTCATCTGTAGAAAAATGTTGATAGTATGAACCACAATAATATGCAAACCTGAAGTCCAACTGTACCCAATTTGACAAGCATAATACTGGATTACAATGTTGATAGATAGCCAACATTTGCTAGGTTTGTTATATTAAGGAAAAATAGCACAATTAAGTTCAAGTCTGCATTAATAGAATCCATGTAATTATCCTGACATTTCATAAAACAAATTCCTCATGTCCATTGTAAGTGAGTCATACTTCAAACAGAACAAAGTATTCATTATTTACTTATGTTGCATACTCATGGCTCCTGAGAAAACCACATTAAATTTCAAGGCATAGTAACTAAGAACAATAGTGTCCAAAAGTATCCAGCTACAGTTCATCTTAATTACTTAAGTATATTTATACCCTGCCTTTTTTCCTTTCAAGGAACTCAAGGCAGCTTACACAACTCTCCTCCTCTCAATCTTATCCTCACAACAACTCTGTCAGGCAGATGGGACTGAGAGTGTGTATGACTGGCCCAAAGTCAACCAGCTGACTCCATGACTAAGTGGGGGCTAGAACCCAGATCTCCTGAATCCTAGTTCCGCACTCTTAACAACTACACTGCACTGGCTCTTGCTGTATACTTATAACTAAATCCAACTCATATTGGTGAAGCTTGGTCAAGTCTCTGGTTATTGTAGAATAAAGTCCCATACTGACCTCCTTCCTCTAATCTTCCTCACAGTTAACGTTGCACCATCTTCATCACTTTTTTTTTGTATATCATACAACTGCTATGACTTAACCTCAGAAGCCACAAAAATGTTAGGGAATGGAACAGACTGTTGCATTTTATATAGCACAGAACAAAGATGCTTTTATTCAAAAAGATGTATATTAAAATCATTAACCTCCAGGCCAGACTGGAGTTTCTGTATCAGGTCCTGGATGTTGAGAGTTGCAGCACTGTCATCTTTAGGGCAGGAAATAGAGCACTTCATTGAGTTAACACAGGTCACGGATGCTTCCATGTGGCTCCTTTTAGATGCATGTTCTGCTTCCTGTTGTCTGTAAGAATTATAGGCTGCAATGCTTTCGCCAAGCCTATATAAAAAGTAGAACACAAACGCAAGATAAAACCAACAGGAAGGAATTGTAAATAAAATATAAACACCAATATTTTTTTAGAAAATAAGGGAGACAATGGCAGGAAAAGCCCAAAATACAATTTAAAAGCAAGCAATATGAAAAGCAATGTACATCTATATCTAAATATAAAAATAAATGTAACTATAAGAAACTCACACTATAGCAGGAAAATCTGGCAATGGAGCTGCTTCAAACAATATTCTAAGTCCTGCCTGAACTTGCTCTCTGTGGTCTGATGTTAAGGCAAAAGCCAAAGGTGTAACCAAACGCTGATCCTAGACACAAACTACTAGTTAGTTCAAAACAGAAAATTATTTAAGAAAGTAAAACAGCAGCACACACAGCCATGGGCACAAGAAATATACTCAATATTAATTTTTTATTTCATCTGCTGTATTCTCATGATAGTAATGTACATTACTGATCAGAAATAAGAACTGTATCTGGTGAAATAGCATTTACATTCACATTCTTCCAACCCCAAACCATTTTTTGGAAATGTCTCCAGGGATTTTTGAACTGACACGAAGCTGCACATAAATGATATAACATCTGATAGATGTCATAGGAACTAGGATTTCAAATATAATCCTTGTACAGGTACATGCCTGTCCTGTATGTTTGTATTCCTGTACCATAAATATTATTTTTGCTGGATTCACAGAAACATGAATGGTACCCTGCTCGTGAAGTACTTTCCTGGCTTTGCAAAACTTGAAATATGTGGGGTTTTGGTAAAATTCTAGGGCTTAGTGCCTTTCAGTTACTCAAAGTATCTTTGAGCCAAAGCATTGCTGAATACATGTTATTTTCTAAAGTTACAACTAAACTAGTGTCTATTTTACTGCATGTGATTTGTGAAGTGTTGAAGACCCCGCAGTTGTTAAATTACATTGTCTTTAACTGGGAAAAATAAGTGTCTGTATGTTTCAAAGGTTATGATAAAGGTTGGTTAGGTAATACTGTTGCTTTCTATTACAAAATAAACAATCATATGTCCCATGTCTTAAGAGGGGTTTAAACTAATATAAAAGTACCTGAAGAATTTTGTAAAAGCTGCCTTCCATGTTAGGAACCAGCTGTTTAAGCTTGCTCATAAGGTCCAATGTTTTTAAGATTATATCAGCTGCAAGCTTGCTGAAAAGGGAAATTGTGAAAATAGAACATTTTATAGTTAGTGTGCATACTGAAACTTCTCACAATGAATAAATAATTTGTCAAGGCGAGTCTGAAAAAGTTAAATACCCCTTTTATAATGGAAAGAACATGTGGGACTGATTTTTCTGAAAGATGTAACCAATTTATTTTTATCCATTGAATACAACAATTGCAGCCAGCAGATCGTACTACAAGTTCTGTCTGACTAAATTACAATACCACCCCTTTCCCAATGCTTTTGGAGACATCTCTATATTTTAGAAAGTGACCGTACAACTGCAACAGTTAAGCTATACTTCAACTTCTTTAGCCCTTCTCTCTGAATACAAATAGATTCAGATAACTCAAATATACTTTAGCTATTTTAAAAAGGTACCAAGATAGGAACAAACTACCTGTTAGTGGGTTGTACGTGAGTAGGTGCACTGCCACAGTTCTGCTTGAGCACAGCAACAAACTATGGCAACAAACTATGGATCAATCACTGAGCTGTTTAGAAGTTAAGCAATCTATAGGTCCTAAACAACTCAACAGTCACACTTTGCACCATATGAAGGAGCCAATCGTATGTTGTGGGGCAAAACTGAGAGGCATGACAACCCATCAAGATTTAAACATGGTTACATGTGAACCAAGTTCTGTCTTCACTGGGTGAGGAATCTAAGAACCAGTCTTCATGACTGTGTTGTGATACCCCGACTTCGGAATTCACTGGGCAGGCAAGTCCACCTACCCATGTTGTTATTGCAGGTGAAAACCTCTGCGATATTAAACAAATATTTTAAATAATATATTAAAAAAACACCTCTCCCTAGTCACTGATAGTGATATTTCTCCTCTTTTAATATTTATCCTAGCCAGCTTGGATTTATTATCATGATCTATAACATTCCTATAAGGATACAAACCCTTCCAAAACTCTTTACAACAAACTTAGAAGAAAATGTCTAGAAGGAAAGAAATCCATCAATATTAAAACTACAATGGGAGTTTTAAATTGTTAACTGAAACTAGGAAAGCTGTAGTGAAGTACTTTACACTGGGCATCATTGGAACAAATCTCTTTGCTCCAGCACTTTCCGCATTCAGTACAAAATCAAACAACGCTGCCTCCTTCATTTGGATTACTCTGCCCACTAGGCGAGGATGAAGAATGAATTAAATATTGTTACATACTGCACATGAAATGTATATAGGAAGCATGGAGCTGCACATGCTGATTCTACTCCTTTGGCTCGGTTTTTCAGTTTGCAGATTGGGAGGGACTCAAATGGGCTCAAGCACAAGTAGAAACTTCTGCACAATCAGGAAGCCTGATAAAGCAGGATGCCCAGCTGCAAAGAGTCTTCTAAATGCACTCAAGTAAACATACCCAGAACACGCCCTTTTCAGACCTTCCCATTCAAATGCAGGAAGGTGAGCAGTGAAGCAGGGCAAGCACAAACAGCTCTGTAGCCCATACATGTGTCTGTTCATGGTATCTCAACAGGGCTAATCTGTGTTAAACATTATGATGCCTGAACCAAATGTTCATCTCTTGCTAGTATATTTTATGCAAACAGAAATGTTCTGATTTTGTACTCAAAGGCAGGCCTTGGAGTTTAAGGATAGTTTGTCAGCTGCTGATTATTTAAGTAGTTTTCTGTAGGAAAAAAACCCCTTAAGTTTAGCCTTGAGAAAATAGTGAATGTAAGGGATAGCACCAGGGAATAAAACAAGCTCTTACCTTAGCTCAGAGTCAATTACCTTTGTCCCAAAACCAAACTCAATTCCACTGCATGTAAATTGATTTTCTATTAAAGATGAACATTTGCTGGCTGTTAGAACCTTAGTAACATGGATTTTTAGAATGTCATCTGCACAAAGAAGTATGTTCTGTTAAGGAAACAGGTTCTGACTTACAAAGTTTCAGATTATGAGCAAGTTCACTAGTGAACATAGCTTACCTATGAGAATGAATAAAACTCTCTAAAGATACAATGCAATGTTATTTAGCAGGAGAATATATGCACTTGGAAACACAGCGTATTGTAATTTGGAGTCCCCATACAATGTTCATAATAGCTGGCAACTAAAGAATGTTGTTTCTCTAACTACTGTTCAGCAATTCAGAATAGGAGAGTTTCCCCAAATGACCCAAACAGTAATAAGCAGTTATCTAAGCTAGCCTAATTAGTCTTAATTTGTGATTGGATTCCTGGCAAGTTCTTTTCACACAGAGATAAAGCCATGGAATTCAGAAAAAGTTTTACTTTGTGGTCACTGAATGTACATTACATGTTTGATACTAAAGATCAGAGAAATGCATGCACAGGACACATGCTATGTGGCTACAGCTGATTTCCTAATGTGTCCTTGGCCTGTTAACCAACACACATCTGTTCACATTTATATAGTTTACCACAGTAAACACCAGCCTGCATGCAGAAAATGCCATCCACTGTGTAAACTGTCAGATGGCCATCACTGAACCAAGATCAAGCATGTTACAACCTTATAAATTCACCTTTGAGAATTACATATGTAGGTCTGGTATACAGTGGTACCTTGGCTCACAAACTTAATCCGTTCCACGACTCTGGATGTGACCCAAGTCAAATTTCCCCTTAAGGTTCAATGTAAATAAGGTTAATCCATTCTGTAACTTTTTTTTTAATCAGAAAAATTTGAAACAAAGTGACAAAGAACAACAAAGTAACAAAGTACTGTACAGTAGTACAGTACAGTGGAGAACACCTACCTAGGTTGTGGGGAGGTTATTGTTTTGAGGGAGAGTCCCCCTCCATAAGGGCATTGGGGAGATCTCTTTCAGGGGTTTCCTCTCTTCTTTGTCTCTTAGCTGCAGGGTCAATTTTGGTGAAAAATCTGCCCATAAACACTTGTTTTTTTTCCGTTCTGCATAACCCTCCAGAAATGAGAGCCCACGTTATCATTCATCAGATTCAACACTCTGTTACAGTTATGTTGGGGTGGTGCTTCTCAAAGAAATCCTGGCACTCATTCCATTTTTTCATAATGGATTGTATCACATCACTGCTAACCTCCTCCCTGTCTTCCTCAGTGGAATCCTCCTCAGCAAGTGCCTTCTGCTGCTCACTCTGGAGTTCAGCAAGTTCTTCTGTCGTCAGCTCCTCTATATCTTCCCTGCACGAATGCAACTTGGGTTGAGGGGGGAGATGGCTGCGATCATGCTGGTTGGGTGGGGGGAGATGACCGAGATTGCGCCCATCTTTCCTGAAGGAGCACACCCATGATCACACACATCTTCCCTGCACGAACGCAACTTTGATCGTGGCCATCTTCACACTCGGCATGGGGTGGGGAGATGGCCGCAATCTTGGTTGCCACCCAATGCAGAGCTTGCAACCCAGGTCAAAATTTTCATGAAATTTTTGTTTGTGACCTGATTTGGTTTTGAACCAAGGCGTTCGTGAGCCGAGGCACCACTGTATTAACCTACATCATTTAAGAGAGTGCCCCTTCAGTTTGGTTTCCATGGTTATCCAACAGAGAACTAGGTTCTAAGTTATTTAAATCAAATGTATTCAGCCTAGCTTGTAGTTTCATAAAAAGCTTACAGTCAAAACAAAGAACTTGCACCAAGGATATCTATTAAAACATCAATAGCTTTTATCATTCTTTCACATTTTTTCTTTGCCATCGGGTCTTCTAGAACATGATCCGGAAAATGAAGATGGTCAAGAAGAACAGGCAGAAGAAGAGCCACAAAGCGTTCAGAGATAGCACTGTTGCATGTATCAATAACATCCTGTAGAAGATATTTCAAAATTGCTGGCATTAAACCCACAGAATCTAAAGTTATTCTATCCCCTTCCTCAAACTTGTTTTCTAGGTTCAAAGCCATTCAGCCTTCATCTCAGGTCCTGTGATACACATGCCATTTGTGATCCTCTTCACAAAAGAAAGAAACTGAAATAAATCTATGTCAGTCCTCTTTGAAATTTAATCAATACTCATACATTAGCTAAATTACAGTATTTTACAGCTTAGATAACTTCTGATAGCTATATTAAATGTTAAAACGGGTGGAATATTTGCTATGATAAAAACAACAAAGAATGCCAATAATTTGGAAATGTTTACTCTGATAGACAGGAACTTGAATGTTTCAGCATTTGCAGATGTGAAGAACCTCAAATATTAAAGTATATAATTGATATATGAGGGAGATAGGGTGAAACACTAGTTTCAAGAACGAAACGTGTTTGTGGGAAAAATTTTCAAGTTGCTCTTATCAGGACTGCATTGATATAAAAACAACATGAATAATATTAGCATGGATCGTGGAATTGGTAAGACAATTAATAATATGACTGTAGCAAACTTAAAGATTGAAGAATTTTGAAGGTTATGTAAGAATTATTGGTTTTCTCTAACAGTAGAGAAAAATAGAATGTTTAGATGTTATTTTTTTCTGTATTTTGTGTTTCACATAAGGAAAAGTGGCAGAACAATATTTTTGCCTGTTCTCACAAGTAACTTTTTTAAAAAATCTGGGCTTTTTAGGCTATATAGAAACAGCATTTCAGAAAGTGGAGGGAAGCAGTTTGGACAGCTTGCACCCTGGTCTCTGCAGTTTCCTCCCTTTCATGACTGCCCTTTCTCCCACTTTGAGGGAGATCTTCTGACCGCACAGGTGAGTGGGCACAGTTCTTTCCACACCAGCTACAAGGTGGTGGGGGAGGGAAGATCTCCAATATACTATGACCCCTCTTATTAAATTGATTATTGATTTTACAGGAATTACTATTATGTAAGAAAATATGAAAACTGTATGTGGGAGATGAAAGAAGATAAAAATAAGATGGAATAAGGAGAAAGACATGGAAGAAAGTAGAACCATAAGGAGTAACTATGTGAACTGGATGCAATGACAGGGACTTTGCATCATGGTCTCTTATCCTTCTTCCCAGTCATTTCTTTCTGTCTGTCTGTCTTTCTTTCTTTCTTTCTTTCTTTCTTTCTTTCTTTCTTTCTTTCTTTCTTTAGAAAATTTCTATGCCGCCCCATTCGCCAAAGCCTCAGGGCGGCTCACAAATATATCAATTAAAATATAATACAATAAATTATAAAACAAGTTTACAATATAAAATGTATCCAGAATCCCTGTGTTCTTATTTATTTCATTTCTCTACTGCCCCATAGCTGAAGGTCTCTGGGCAGTTTACAACACTTTAGTCAAATTATGCAGTGGAGTTTCCCACTTTTTATTGCAGGGGTCAGCACCTACAGAGTGCAATGGATGAGCTTCACCCTATGAAAACATCCTTTCTGATCAAGGTTTTTTCCCTGCCAGGTACATTGATTTTTCACTTGTTCCACTTAATTTCCTTAGTGGCATATTCTCTTCATTATTCCTCTCACCCTCACTTCTCTCAAAGAGGCAGCTCCATTATATTATTTCATAGCCACTAATTGGAAAACAAAATACAATTCATTTCCAAAATTGGCATTGCAGTTATCAGCATTTCTGCCAACAGAAATTCCATGCCATTAATTTTAATGCACTATTGCACACTGACATAGCACTGATGATAGCATTATGTTGCCTACAATCCTAAAGGGATTGGGATTGAAGCCAAAAAACAAAAGTGAAGTAGTCATGAAGCCTAAGAATGTAATTTTATGCAATCATACCTAGGACTAGGAATATGTCCCATTGAACTCACTTACTTCCCAGCAGACATGCATATGATTGCCCTGTAAATGGAATATCTTTTTTCTTGCATGATACAGAAATTAAGAAACTGCAACTTAAAATGTTCATGCATTTTAGATAGGAAGTGAATTCTAAGAACATTTCTTAAAATGAAATACTTTCAATTGGAGAATATATTTATGCAGATGAATACTTTTCTTGGGTTCTTATGAACAGATACAACCAATGATAAAGCCAATATAATGTGTTATAAAACCTTAGGTTGTTAACAATAAATTTACAATATTTGAAAAGCAATCTAAACTGAAACATGATAATAAACTTCCAATACTCAAGTTTTCAAAATCAGAGAATAGAAGTCACCATGTGAGTGAACTTCTGCACATCCAAAGAGACTTTTCTCCCTCTCTCCCTCATGAAGTTCCAAGTGTCTCCACAAAACTTGCTCTGGAGGTTCAACTGAACCCTCTGGAGCAGATTTTGCACATGAACAAGATGCTGAAGGGGACATTTCCCCCTCCTAATTCTGCTGACTGATGCAGTGTGGAAACCGCACACTGGTTTTCATTCTGATTTATAAAAACACGATAAAATCTAGATATAACCCAAGGCAGCCAAAACCTTTTTTTCTAAATAAAATCAAACATGGGGCTTTGGCATATTTAAAAGATAGGAACAATTTTACACTGGCTTCCATTTGTTCTTTTCATATAAAGCAATCAGCAACCATAAGACTAGACTGGCCTCAAGTCAGGGGTTTAATTATGACAAATACAGTGGTTCCTTGGCTCACAAACTTAATCCGTTCCAGGATTCTGGTTGTAACCCAAACTGGTTGTGAGCCAAGTTAAATTTCCCCATAAGGTTCAATGTAAATAAGGTTAATCTGTTCTTTAACTATTTTTTAATCATAAAAATGTAAAGCAAAGTGACAAAGAACAACAAAGATCGCAGCCATTTCCCCTTCCAGAGCATGACCATCTCCCTGCCCCCCCCCCCCAGCACCACCGGGATCATGCCCATCATCCCTGCTCTCGTCCATCATTCCTGCACGCACCCGTCATCCCGGCACGCTGGAGGGGGGGAGACAGATGTGAACGCGGGCGCTCTGAGGGGGGAAGAGATGGGCGCGAACGTGGGTGCACTCGGGGGGGAAATGGGCGTGATTGTGCTGGTGGGGGGGATGGCCGAGATCACAGTTGCGCTCCTGCAGGAAAGACAGGCACAATCATGGGCGGTCTCCTGCAGGAAAGACGGGCGCAATCTTGACTACCCCCCACATGATTGCGGCCATCTCCCCATTTGGGGGTGGGGGTGGGGAGATGGTCACAATCACGGCTGCCACCCAATGCAGAGTTCGCAACCTAAGTAAAATTTTTATGAAATTTTTGTTCGTGACCCAATTTGGTCGTGAACTGAGGCATTCAAGAGTCGAGGTACCAGTGTAGCTGGAAGTAAAGCAAGTTGCTTCTTTTGGAAACAATTACAACAGTAGAGCAAGTTCCTCATTTTTCCTAGGGAACCAGCTAAATGAGAATCATTTCAAGTATATTCTAAAAGAAGCAGGTACCTCAAATATCTCCCTGAATAGCTCCAAGGCAAGAGTTGAACAGCTTTCAGATGGTTCCAAAGGTTGGTTTGACCAATGTACTAAGGCAATAGATGGTTCTGAAGATTTATGTCGAGTTGCAAGTCTTGTGCTTCCACAGATTGCTGTATTTGGTTCCAATACTGCTTGACGCAATATATGACGGAGTTCAGTTACTGAACAGAAGGCAAGTAGTAACTCTAATACCTGAGCAAAAGGCAGGAGAAGTCACTTTTTCCCTCCCACAAACAACATGGCAGTATTTAAGACTAGTCTGGATTTCAGCTGGAATGTCCAATTTCTTGACTTAGCTATTAAAGCAATTAAAGATTTAACTGAAACAGATGACTTATTCTACCGCTGATCCCATTTATGAAAGCAAGTTGCATAAAGTACTGTCTCCTTACGGTACGCAGTAGACATGTAAAACTGAAATACACCAATGATCCATTCAACCTATTATTGCTGACTCTGACTGATTACTGCTTTCCAAGCTCTCAGACAGAGATTTTTTCTAGTCCCGCTATCCAGGACACTTTAAATAGTTATCAAAGGCTGTTCCTGGAACTGTTAGCATTTGAAACATGTGTTCTACTACAGACCTGTAATCAAGTATCCCTATATCAGAGGATATTTTTACAACTGTTTAGAAAACTTTAAGTTTAGTAAACACAGCATGAGCATCACAGTTAGAACTCAATTACTATGCAAGAACTAAAACATATTTGAAGGAGCTATACCTAGCTATACAACTTAGAATAGATGTACTTATTTAAACAACTGCATAGCTATGAAAAAGGAAACTGCAATTTGCTCTAATACACTAGTGAAATTTATAACACTTTATTCTACAAAAGTGTTTTTTGTTTAAGTAGATCGATCCAGGTAAACAAAAATATCAACTACATTTAATCAATCTCACTATATGGTCAAAGCACAATGTGAAACACAAGCCATCCGAGTAGCTGCAATCAGCATTCTTGCATTTCATTATATTCCATGGAATGGCATTTACTTAAAATTCCTAATGTCAACAGAGCTGGAACTAGATGTTGGAATGCTGAATAATTAGATTCTGTTTAGGTGCATCATTATGTAGCTGTTCATCTGCAAAATACCTTTGCTGAAGAATCAGGATCCTTTCCATTAAGTAGACCTAATACCTGATTGAGGCAAGATGTAAAATGTTCATACCTGGATTGTTGAAAGAGAAAAAGAATGTTGACATTACTCTTATTTTGGTAAAATGTAATTATAACAAGGATCTCTTGGAGTTTTGTACGCAGGATTGTTCTTTCTGTATTTTAAAGTTTATGAAACTTTATAGTATAGCTTTAAATAACAATCTTGAAAGATTTATGCTAGAAATAAGCTGATCCCTAGATTCAAGTTCTGAGAAAACCCACATTCCATTTAGATTATCATATTTAGGTTTAATGAGCAGCAATATGAACAAGTCTTTTTGCCTGATTAAGCATGGCTTGTTTCTTCCCTTGTACAAGCCATGCTTAAAACAGGAAGCGGCTGAAATGTACAGCTGGGTTTAATCTGAACCAAAAAACTATCACCGCCAGCTTCTGAAAGAAAAGATATTAAACTAGCTATGGTTAAACATCCTGGTTTGTTCCAGTCTGGTAACCTTTATGGGCTTCAATGTAGTAATAAAGCATTACAGAGCCATAGAATAGCAGAGCTGGAAGAGGCCAAGAAGGTCCAAACCCCTAGTCTGTGCAGGACTCCAAGTGGAGAACTCTTGGTTTGCTGTCAGGAGGGGAATTGCTTCTGTACCTCTGTGCTGAATTAGGTTGTAACTGCTGTGGTTTTATTCTCTTACATTATTTTTTCTTGTTTGTGTGTTTTAACTTTTGTGAACCACCCAGAGAGCCTTGGCCATTGGGCAGTATAAAAAATGAATTAAATTACAAAAGACTTCCTGTTTTAACTGTGACTTACAAAACAGCTATGTCTACAGACAAAAGGCTTGCTCATATCTTGACTTGTTACATTACATAAATAAAGATTTGATTGTCTGAGCATGGATCCTGTCTGAAGGTGCTTTACACCAACTGTGAATTAGTACAATGGCACAAGCACAAAATATCAGCATTATTAGTAGATATTACCAAACAATGCTTGTGATTTAGATGTCACTGTGCGAGTTATCAAAAGGTAATTCTTACACTTTACTTAAGAATGCATGATGAAAAAGCTCAGGAAAAACAGCATTAGGGGGAAAAGCATTATTTTATATTTTTCCAAGGTTTTTTTTGACAGATTAATGTTTGATACAGAGTGTTCCTATAGTACTACTTGTTATTTACTCTGCCAAAATGATTTTTAAAAGTTACCTAAATGTAAGATTTATGTAACACTAGAGATGTAAAAGTTTAGGAAATGCTTTAAGCCATTGGGGATGTTTTTGAATCCTCTAAGTTTTCCAGCATAGTTTTTAATAAAGTTCCCAATTAGATGTCACCATTTTGGAATGACATCTGAGGAAAATAAACACTCTAAACCTATGACACAGGATTCACACCATTGCTAGAAATAACCTTTCAAAATAAAAAATAAAAAACATGTTAAAGGCATAACCCTCTCTAGTTGCCACCCAGAAGACTGAAACCATAAGCTGATTTAAAAAAAAAAAATCATGAGAAAACTAAGTGATCTGTAATATATTTTATGTCCTTAGAAAAGTGACAATAATAACAATCGTTCCTATGGTTTCAAAACTAGTAGAAATTATCTATCTCCTTTGACAGAACAATTCCAATTAACCAAGATAACCAAATGGAGAAATATTTGTTTTAAACATGTTTACTCTCCAGCCAAAGAGGCTTCCTGAGCATCTTTACTCAAACCAATAAAAACTAACAGATAAGATGATTTCTTCCTACAGATTTACAATTTAGAAGACAAAAGGAAAAAGAGGTGGGGATCCAGTAAGGAAAGAAGTTCAGGCACTAAGTTTTTGAAAGTTAGGAAGTTCTTATAATGGTCTACCTGAATGGAAACATTTGAGAAAAAGGGGCCAAATGCAACTAAACTTTCAGCAGAGTCAGGGGAGTGATCTCTCCCTATGCTTTATATATTTATACATCATCATTTCTTTAAAAGTTAATTTTAAATTCAATATTTAAAACATGGTTCTTCTTAATATAGCTGGAGACTTGCAGTTGATTCTAGCATTCTAGGAAGGAGCCATTGCAGAATAACAACATAATTTCCCATTCATAAAAAATTCATATTACTTTCTTCTGAGATTTCAGATCCTGCAGTTGCTGAGACAGGCAAAACCAAACCCATTCTACATTTCTATGGTAATTGATGTTGCAAATTTACCTCTAGATAGGAGAATAAAGGTATTTCTTTATTCTGGGCAGGGCATTTCATAAGTTGGTACCAAAGAACCTGGAGGTTCTATAGCTCTTGGCTCTATCCAATAGCAGGCAGTTCTCCACCCCATTATCTGAAAAAATGTTCATTCTTCACATCTCAGATGTTGCTGCTATTGCGGCTGTTTCAGTCATTTCAGACTACGAAGAGAAAGCCTGCTCAAAGATTGCATTTTCTGCAACACATCTTCTACTGCACTCTGACGTTGAGGGTGTTGTGATTACATTGATATGACTTATGGGGACCCTATGAATGAACGCCTTCCAAAATGTCCTGTTCTTGATAGCCCTGTTCAGCTTTTGTGAACTTAAGACTGTGGCTTCCTTTATGGAATTCAGCCATCTCAAAATTGGTCTTCCCCTTCTTCCCCCTTTGATGTTCCATAGCATTAATGAGTTCATCAGTGAGTTCAACCTTCTTATGATGTGCCTTAAGTCCAAAAGCTTCAGTTTCATCAGTCTGCTTCTGGGGACAATTCTAGTTGGATTTGCTCCAGGACCCACTTGTTTTTCTTTAATGTTCCAGGATATTTACAAAGCTTTCCTCCAGCACCATGTTTTGAACAGATCTATTTTCTTCCTTGCAGCTTTCTTCATCGCCCAGCTTTCATGCTCATACATAGTGATCAGGAATACAAAAAGTAAAGCACCCCTCCCAAACACACACACACAAAGTGGTTTTATTTTTGCCAGCTTGTTGTTAGGCAAGATGACCATGATCTCAATTCCCTGCATATGCATTGAGAATGCACTCAAGGGCAAAAGGGCGGGTTCCTACCTAAAACTACAAGGAAGTTCTATAAAATACAAAGCAGAGCCTATGCATCAACACCTGTTAAGCCAAGAGTTGGGAGGGGGAAAAGGTTAGAAACATAATAGCAAACTAAATAATCCAATATGCAGAAACTGGGACAGATAACATGAATAAAAGTGTACATAAGAATGAAGGAATATACTGTATAAACCCAAAAAATAATACTTGAAAATAAGCTTATTTGTAAATCTTACTTGGTAAGATAATTTGCAATCTTGGGATTCTTTAGGAGATCCATGAGCAGGTCAACAGAATACTTTCTTGTTAGTGTTCCATCGCCATTCACAAGAATGTTAAATATTAGCTGGAAAGTCTGATGAATGTTTCTAGAATGGAAAAGCTGAACAAACAAGCCCAGTTTACAATAATTTGAACATTATAGCCATCAGGCATCCAGCAATATCCAAGCAAACTTACAAACACGGAATATGGTAGTAAACAAATATAATTCAATGGGAAACTGAAAGACATGCATGGCAGAATCAATCCAGAGTATTTTACTTGTACAGTAATTTCACATCCTGTCATAAATTTAATTTAATTTATTTTGCTTTAATATTTTGTATCCCATCCTTTACAGTATCTCAGGGCAGCAATAACATACATATATACATACATAAAACAAAGCATCACAATAATACATAAAATCATTTTTATCTTGTCTCATACAGAAATACTATTTAAAATAAAACAAAACACATCCTTACCTTTTCTCCAACTTCTTCATTTAATGTAAGACTGGATAATAATGAAAGTGCAAATACAACCATTGTTAGACTACTGTGAGCCAAGAAACTGATCAAAGTGCGATAGAAACCCTTCACGTTAGGCTAGTACACACAAAAGAGAGAGAGAGAGAGAGAGAGAGAGAGAGAGAGAGAGAGAGAGAGAACAAGCTGAATAACAATTTAAATGAGTAATGTCAAGTATATTTCTACATACAATACATATCTATATATCATAATTGGCCATTGTTTGATCATGTCTCAGAAATGTATTTGGGGACCATCTGGTCATGGGATCCATGCTACCTTTAGTTTTTCTAAAATAATGATGTCAGGCTTGAAATTCTGTTCTGTTGCTGCATTGTTACACACTGAGAAAAGAACCACTGTCCTTCCTTTCTTTGGCACATGACTTTCAAGTGTTAAAGCTAGGTTTGCTGAAATGACCAAAGCTACAAGAGTTATATTCAAAAACACTGTAGAGAGTTCTCCTTTTTCCATGTTTTTTGTTTTGAATTGGATTTTTTTTCTGGGTTTGTTAAAATGGTATTACCAAAGTAAGATAGACAAGCACCAAGCTGACTCCTCTGGCAACACAGAACCTGGACACACACACACACACACACACACACACACACACACAATCAACTCTCTCTTAAAATGTGAAGGCTTCAGGTGCTTAAATAACAAGACTACCCTATTTTCCCTTCCATCAAAAAGAAATTGCCTACCAATGATTTGATGTGCGCTTGAATGGACAGATTGTGTCGACAGAGATTTGCCATAAGTCCTAGGCATGGTATAGTTAGAGCATCTTCTGTAGACTGACTAAAATAAAAGTCAAAATGAACACACTGATTTGTTGCTTAAACACATTTATAGAATTCAATTTTTACTCTCTTGATTAAGGTGATTCTTTCAAGTTAAACAGTATTCTCTCACATACATTTTCATATTGCTATTGTTCTTACATATACGTAAAACACAATAAATTTACCATATGTGTGGATTCTATCCCTTATTTAGCTCTGTGTTGCCCACTGTAAATGAAATACTTTAGGGCAATCTTGCAGAAACACAGAATACAAACTACCAAAGGGGGGGAAAAATCCCCCACACCAAGCCTAGTCAGATGCAGCTTTCGGTCTGAATGGCTCTATAGGTAGAACTACAGAATAACTTGTTTAAGAGTAACTGTTATGAAACCAAAGAGAATGCAAGGCAATGTCTAAAAGTCGTTACAGTTTCTGCTGAAAGAAAAGATTTTTTGTACTATTTTTAATTCAATTATTTCATTTACCTGTTGCCATTGTGGCCTAGATAGGCTCTTTGAGATTTTAATCAATCAAGTGTAGTGCAAGTTAAATGCCAGTTGTTAAAACACCTGCACAATTTTTACTCCTGTCACAACAGCGCTGTTCTAAATGAGGGCACTTAAATAGCCCCTTTCAGAGAGTTGCGTTTTAGCAGTGAAGAGTAGCTACAGGAAAATTGAGTTTACGCTGCCATGATAAAAACACTGATGGAAGGCCAGGACAATTGCTCTTCTTCTACTGTCTCTTGGAAAATGACATTTAGGTGCCTGATGAAGTTCTGTGGCTGAAACTAAAATTGCTTGTGTCTTGGTAGGATCTGCATAAGAGACTGACAGGAAATATGTGCACATGTGTTTAAGTCTTCATATATTATTCTTTTAGGAACACATGGAAAGAACTGCCTTTGATCTTTCATATCCCAATATACCTTTCCTGGTGGAACTTTGACCTTCCAGTTCCAGTATCCTTAGCTGTTTAAAGGTCTTTTTCCTGGCCCTGCACAAAACTGTTCTTTATACCTAGAAATGCAGCTGAGAGGATCTCAATCTCTCTCTCATTTCCTTCAAATCCCTCCTCACATCCAAGTTTTCTGTGAAGCCTTTGCCACAGCACATTAGTCACCATATACTACTGTAACCAAGCCTGGCACATGTGACGGACAAATGCATATTCTTCTTATTTACCCTTGCTCTGCTCTGCATTGAATTTTAGATACTAAACTCTATCTCCTTGCAGTTGGTAATCAAACTACTAAACGTTTCACAAGATGCAGCACAAATTTAAACATGCTGATCAAAAGTAAGTTGTAATGTGCTTAATGATGTGTATTTCCTAATAACTGCTCATAGTACAATTATGTACTATGTCTACTATACATATGTCTATGTATGTTAAGTACATGTCTACTCAAAATCTAATGAATTTTCCTCCCAGGTAAGAGCATAGATAATTTTTCCCTTAGTTAGCTGAATGTTTTACTCCAAAAACATACTTACATTCGATTCAGAAGGAAAGAAATTAAATCATCAATATTAGCACTGGTATGGAATACTCTTGAATTGTAGGTCAATTTCTGTAACAGTTGAATACTCTGAGAATTAAACACATAAATAAATTAACTGATGGTAAAATCCTATACCCACTTACCTGGAAGTAAGTTTTACTGAACTCTACAGACTTACTTCTAAATAGATATTATAGGATTGCATGATAAACAGTATAGCTTACTGATGCTCAAGTTACCAACTGATGGTCTTATTTTCTGCTCCACTTATATAACAAAATAGTCAAGTTGGGATGTTATAACCACTCAAGTTCATTATGAAACCAACTCTCTGAGCAAGCCTGGGCAATCAAATTTGGTTTTAGTCAAACCCAAAAAGCACACTCATTACATGGTTGAATATTTTATACCATAAATAATTTGAAAGAAAATTAATTATGCCATGCTATTTAGGTGCAAGGGACTGCAGGTGGCGCAGTGGTTTAAACCACTGTGCTGCTGGGCTGGTAGATCAAAAGGTCGCCGGTTCAAATCTGCACAACGGGGTGAGTTCCCATTGCTCCGTCCCAGCTCCTGCCAACCTTGCAGTTCGAAAGCATGCAAATACAAGTAGATAAAAAGGTATCACTTCAGTGGGCAGGTAATAGCGTTCCGTGCACTTCAGTGTTTAGTCATGCCGGCCACATGACCACAGAGACTGTCTGTGGACAAACGCTGGGAAACGGCTAGGAAACGGAGATGAGCACCGCCCACGAGAGTCAGGCATGACTGGACTTAATGTCAAGGGGAAACCTTTATCTTTACCTTTTTTTAGGTGCAAATGGTTAGGTGCAGATTGTTGCCAATGCATATTTTCAATTTAAGTCAATTAAGAATGATGGGAAGCTATGACTAAATATTTCTATTAAGAATCTTTAGCATGCCTGACATTGCACATTGCTCTGGTTACTATATTTGCACTTTACCGTAGTCTGCAGGCACATGAAACAGTAACCTTTAAAGCTAAGCAAGTTTGAATTTAGTCAGTTTCTGACTGGGAGACCACCTTAAATTTGACGTGCACAGCTTTGCCTTTCATGGAAGAAAGGTGAGATATAAACAGTAATAAAAAGATTCAAAATCTTTATAATTGTGTTATGTAAAGCATTAAACTTCACAGTTTCTTACCTGTAGTAATACTGGGTCATTAGGATTGACAGAACTTCGAAGAATTACACCTGCCAGAACACTACACAGATTGTAAGTATTCTGGAGAGCTTCTCTGGTCTCCTTGTCTATAACTTAACATGTAAACATGCATGTAATTAAAATAAGTGATCATAAACACCAGAAGAAACATGACCAAGTAAAAATAGTGTGATTCGGAGTACATGAGCCAGCCCAACAATGCAGTTTCCCACCATGTTATCAATAATATTTTGATCAGACTCCCTGAGCGTACATTGCTTAGTCCTTGAAAAGTGTTGGGGCTTCACAGGTTTGTTCTTGTTTTAATTTACTGGGGCTTTCACACTTCATGGGGCTTCACAAGTTTCCACTAACTCAGTCATCTGCAAGGAACCACATGATGTTGCCCTGTTTCTACTGAGAAGGCATACACAATGGTTATACTCACATGTTACAACAAGCCATGCTGGAAATTGTTTATTATTGTTGTTATTAAATAAATACTGTTTTTATTTAAACAGTATTTTAACTTTAATAGTTTTTAAGATTAGTCGCTCTGTTTTGTGATTTATTGTTTTGTTCTGTTTTATTTATTGAAATTGTTGTTTTAATTGTCATTTTAAATATTGTAAGCCATCCTGAGATCTTGTATAATAGGATGTCATACAAAAGCTTTTAATAAATAAATAAATAAAATATATGAATTAAGCACCAAATATTTGTTTTAGGGTTTGCATGCTTCAGCATTGCTTGTCATTATGCCTGACTTTATTTGCAATGTTTTCCTAACATTTCCCTGCTTCTGACAATGATTTCAATGGCAATAGTAGCTGCAACAGCTGCAGCACCTGCCATTACCACTGTCCTGTACTGCCTAACTGCTCAGTTGTCAGCAGGCAGGGTGCTGATTGGCTGCCTCCACACTTCCAGCACTGAAGCCTGCCCTTCATGTGTTGGGCTGTCAGAGGAAGGCAGCCTCAGTAACATGTGTAAATCTAGAATAGTGACAGATGTTATTTTCCTGGGCTCCATGATCACTGCAGATAGGGACTGCAGCCAAGAAATTAAAAGACACTTGCTCCTGGGGAGGAAAGCTATGGCAAATCTAGACTGCATACTAAAAACCAGAGACATCACCCTGCCAACAAAAGTGCGTATAGTCAAGACCATGGTTTTCCCAGTTGCAATGTATGGCTGTGAAAGTTGGACCATAAGGAAGGCCGAGCGCCAAAGAATTGAGGCCTTTGAATTGTAGTGCTGGATAAGACTCCTGTGAGTCCCTTGGACTGCAAGGTGATCAAACCTGTCAGTCCTAGAGGAGATCAACCCTGACTGCTCTTTAGAAGGCCAGATACTGAAGATGAAACTCAAATACTTTGGCCACCTAATGAGAAGGAAGGACTCACTGGAGAAGAGCCTAATACTGGGAACAATAGATGGCAAAAGAAGAAGGGGGCGGCAGAGGATGAGGTGGCTAGATGGAGTCACTGAAGTAGTCGGTGTGAGCTTAAGTGGACTCTGGGGGATGGTAGAGGACAGGAAGGCCTGGAGGAATGTTGTCCATGGGGTCACAATGGGTCGGACATGACTTCGCGACTAACAACAACAACAACATGAACATAGGAACTATATTCCTGCATATATCTTAGTATGCCACTTATTATGCCAAGTTGGCATACTAAGAAAAAGTTCCTAGTTTTCTTGTTGTCCAAAATCAGTGTAATAAATTATTTAATGTTTAAAAACACTTGTCTAGGAAAATATTATTTCAAAGATCAGAATACTCTTCCACTTCACATTTTAGTGTGGTATATGACAAATATGTATTTATTTTAAATGATTTTATGGCCATACTGAAGGATGGAACCCTCCCAAACTGATACACAAAATTAAAAGAACAGTACCATAAGAATGGGACTGCAGGTGCCACAGTGGTTTAAACCGCTGTGCTGGTAGATCGAAAGGTCGCTGGTTCAAATCTGCACAACGGGGTGAGTTCCCATTGCTCCGTCCCAGCTCCTGCCAACCTTGCAGTTCGAAAACATGCAAATGCAAGTAGATAAAAAGGTACTACTTTGGTGGGCAGGTAACAGCGTTCCGTGCACTTTGGTGTTAAGTCATGCCGGCCACATGACCACGGAGACTCTATGCGGACAAACGCTGGCTCCCTCGGCTAGAAAATGGAGTTGAGCACCGCCCCCTAGAGTCAGGCGTGACTGGACTTAATGTCAAGGGGAAACCTTTACCTTTTACATAAGAATGAAATCCAATTAAAAGGCCATTATAAATAAAATCAGCAGATTAAAAATTACAAAAAGGTAAAAAAGAATAAGTGGATTTTCAGAGCCACTTCCTGAAAACCTGTGGAAAAGAGATTCCATCACATTCTGCCATAGGCGTTATAACCACAATCTTTCTGTATCTGCATAGCATGCTGCATATGCAAGTCAATTATTTTCAGAGCTTACCTAGCTGAGAAAGCAAGCCTACCACACTCAGGGTTAAGGGTGGACTTATATTTGGGTCTTCAATGAGTTCTACCAAGCAGCTCAGACATTCAGATGGTAAAATCTGGTTTGATGCAAAAAATTTTGTCAGCTTCAAGCCTGAGATGAGCTGGAAGAATAAAAATATAGACTTTTAATAGATATAGCAAGTATTAGCTGAAACTTAACAGTAACACACAATCTGATCCAAAAACTCCCTAAACACATGGGAATTCCAGTCAGTACATAGTATACTTCCACACAGTCTTAACCATTCACTTAAATTGAAAGGATCAGTTCCACTTGCAGATACTATTAATTTCATATTACAACCAATACAAATACAGTTGAATAGTGTTCCTAACTTGCTTTTGTTTGATCACAAAAATTAGGCCACAGTCCTACTGAGATTACAGTAACTGACTGAATTTGTAGATTTGCATTCATACCATGGCCGATCACCAGAGAGAAACTTCACCTCCCCACCCTTCTGTCTCTGTATTTTTTGCTAGATGGCTGTTTTTGAATATCTAGGAAGAGGTGCCTGTGGGAAGTGAAGGAAGGTAGAGCAGTTTCAGGATAGTTTGTATTCTAGCTACTCCAGTTTCCCCCCCCCCCCCCCCCAAATCCTTCCCCTTTAACACCTCTCCCTTGCTGACAATTAGGAATAGGTGAGGAGTTCTTTTCACAATGATTGTGAGGGGAAGAAGATAAAAATTTCAATTCTTAACTCCATGGTCAAATAGGTCATCTCCAGCCTTGGAGATGGGAATCAGAACTATCCTATGGTTCCTGAAGCAATACGGAGAAGCCACAGGATCATTCCCTTTGATTGATAAAAGGCTAGGCTAATGCCTTCTCTTGTTTATTTGCCTGTCCCTTTGAGAACACAAGAAGAGCTATTCTGCCTCTGTGTTCAACTCATACTGGAACTCATCCAGTATGTGAACCCAAAAACACTTCTAGAAACAGGTACAGTGGTACCTTGGCTCACGAACACCTCAGTTCACGACCAAATCGGGTCGTGAACAGAAATTTCAGAAAAAAATTTCCTCAGGTCGCGAACTCCACATTGGGTGACAATCACAATTGCGCTGGGGCGGAAGATGGTCACAATCATGCTGGAGAGGGAGATGGCCGTGATCGTTTCTGTGTTCCCTGCACGAGCATGACCATAATCACATCTATATCCCCCGCAAGGTACCACTGTACTTCAATCATATTGTGCTATAAAACATGTAAAAAAATCCTCCAAAAATACACTAGTTGAACAATAGTGATCTTAAAACTCAACCTGAGGGCACTTCTGTTTATTGCTTATAACGACTGGGGTTCTTAAGCATTAGCAGGTGGTGGGTTTTTCACTCAATATTGTTGTATTTACATGGAGAATTATAATACTTGAATGCTCAGTCAGGATTTGGAAGTAGAGGATATTCTACACGGGGTTATCTGCCACAAACAGCTTTTAAAATGTTTATATCCTATCTTTCAATAAATGACAGAAACTATCAAAATGGCATTTAACTGAAAATAGCATTTTATCCAGAATGGATATGGGATCTGATATGATGAGATCCAAGGAGTTTGAGCTTATCCTGTCTCTATTTTTAGGACACTTGTCAAAGCTCTATATTTCCAATACATCCCTTCATTGGATATGCATTAAATGTTTGTTTCTCCCATCATCCTTTCCAGGATGTTGCAGTGATAAAATTAAGAAAAACTTGGCTCAGCTAAATATTCAATGCAGGTCATCTTCAGGGAACCTAACTTGTTTTTTAACAACCAAAGATGGACTTTCACATAATGACTTTCACAGTGAGCAACCGATTGAAGCAAGAAAACAAAAACTATCAGAAACCAGCAGCAAAACATGATTTCATAACTCCAATAATGAGGAAGGCCTTATGAAATCAATTAGGAAGGCCTTATGAAAACAATCATAACCCGATGCCTATACATGAACAGAAAATATGCAAGCCTTCTTAGGGAATAGGTTTCACAAGCCTGTAGCAACTGAGACGGCATTGATCCATGTACATAACCATGGCTGACAAAAGAAAATGAAAATGTCTTCATAGATTACCAGTCTGTGCATACATGTTCAGATTCAGAGGCATGGTGGACTGGAATATTAATATTCAGGGCCATTCTAAGACCATGAAATGAATTAAAGCAGGAGTGGAGAAACTGCACTCCTTGCCTAATTTCATGGAGTACCCCACCACTCACTGTGGCTCTACTGACCACCAACACCCCCCTCAAACTAACAGAAAAAAGTTCACACCCCTAAATTAGAGATACAAATGAAATGAAAAACAATAACACAAAATTAAGATCTTCATTAGCTCCCCAATGAAATTGACAGTGAAACCAGTTGCCAAGAGAGGTCATGGGCTCCTCCACACTAGAGACATTCAAGGCAAAACTGGACAGTTGTCTGGGTGAGATGGTGTATCTTGGCATCCTGCACCAGCAGGGGGTTGGACCCAATGGCCTACTTTGTCCCTTCCAACCATAGTATTCTATCAATCTATGAATCTGCGTTTCAGCACCAGAATTCCATGCTGTATAGGGCAAAAGCAGTTTCCAAACAGTCTTCAATGGCATAGCAACACAGAGCACATTATCGTGTGATCTACAAAAACATGCAGTATAGCACATTCAGATACACATAGATTTTTACATCAATATGCATGGCACACAGGAATGTGTGCATCTCAGCTAAAGCACCCATACCAATTTAAGTATTACCCCCATCACTACACATCAAAGTTACCCCCTTGTTATTTTCCCGGTATTTTAACAATTAATTGGCTTTATCCTTGTTTTTATTACTATTTTAGATGCACTGTGTGTGTGTTGTTGTTATGGTTTTGTTACCAATTGCAGCACCCCAAAACACCCCAAAAGTAATTGGCCAGAGAAAGGCCCCAAAAGTAGCTGGCCAGAGGAAGGTCACATAGTAAAAACACCACAGTTATACTGTCCCAGAAGGGAGGGCAGATACGAACAAAATGAACTTTGTGTAACCCACAGCTAACACGCTAGCCTGACCTCGAATACAGTAATCAAAGGGACAGTGGAAACTGGTTCTAGCCGCCATGAAAGTTGCAAATGTGCAGGGAGTAAGAACATGGCAAGCCTGTGTGAATCTCGAGCAGATAAGAAATAGACATGGGAAATGTCTGGTCCTTGACAGAAGAAAGGACTCTTTCTCCAGCACAGGAGGGGGTGCAAACGTTGATGTATCGATATATTAGATGTGCATTAGGTAACCTAATTGGTTACCTAGGGTATAAAATGTATGTACTGGGGTGCAACCTTTGAGACACTGCTTTGGGCTGAATGTCCCTTTGTCTCCCTTTATTCTATACTGCACTAGAATAAAGCTGATTTTGGCTCCAAGTCTTGTCTCAGGCTCTGTTTGGCTCGGGTCTGGGGTCCACCCGGGTTTGCTCCAGCTGTTGACTGGCTCAGTCTGGTAACAGTTTTGTTCTTGTTTTTTTGTTCTTTGTAAGCCGTTCAGAGACTTTTTAGTAATGGATGGCATACGAAATTTTTAAATAAATAAATAAATATTGTCATGCGGTTATACAAGGAGCAACAGTGTATGCCCTAATCCTACCCATGCTTTCTCAAAACTAAATTCTATTCTGCTCAGTGGTGTTTACAGCCAGGTATGTAAACAGGTCTGGGACCTACCCATTTTATTTGTAAACTACTGTCTTCCATGTGCATTACTTTCAAAGCAGTTCAAAGCGATAAAAAATATACACTGTAACTGGAAGAGGTAAACAAAAATATGGGTGGCATGGCAGCAGCAGAAAAGAGCTTGGCTAACGGCCAGGAAACAGCAGCGAGGAAGAGCTTCTAAAGTGAGACGTCTGCTAACTTTAAAATATCGCCTCCCCCACTCCTCGGAGTTATAAACAGTGGCCGGAGACCGGGGACTGAAAAGACACCGGCATCTCTCACCTCCAGGCTCCGCTGCAGCAGCGCTGCGTTGGATTGGGTGTGTGCGGCCCTGTACTGGGAAGCCGCCAGGAGCAGCGACTTCATGCACGCCGAGGCGTCCATAGCGCCGCGTCTCTCGACCCCACCGCGGCTGGCCCTCGTTTTCGCCTCTCAAGAAATCGTATTTGGCGCCCTGGCCGCCATTTTGACGCTGTCACCCGCGCCACCAGAGGGCCGCCAGCCGCCGCCGGAAGCCATCTCCACTCACTGCGCCGTGGAGCATGCCGGGATGGCACGCGAGAGAAGAAAGAAAAGCTCGGGAGGGGGAGGTGTTTGTTTAGTTTGCCGGAAATGTCCACTACTGAAGGTGGAAAGCGAAGTGACCGCAGCGTTCTCAAAGAAAGGCGTTCAAACGTCTAACAGGAAATGGCGCATTGTAGGCTGATAGTTGGCTTTGCAGAGGGTGAAAGTCGGCGCTCGTGTGGTAAAAAGTTCACCGCTCACACGAAGCACGTCCTTCCCCCTCGTTTGGGGAGGGGCCCGAAGAAGGAGCCGCGTCCGTTCGCCTGGTGCACGCCGGGAGGAAGGGCCGGCGCACAATGGTTTGGGGTCGGAGGCGATTCAGAGGCGGCCCCAGAAGCGCCTCCAGGTCGGTTTTCGGAGGGGGAGAGGCCTGGACGCCCCCCAACCCTAGCATCTATGCGAGCGCTTCTATTTTGGACTAATGGCTTTCCGGAGGCGGGTCTTTCCTTTTGTGAAACCGCCACGGTTGGTCGGTGACGGCTTGGTTGCTCAGGGTTGATTTCCGAGGTCCGGCTGCTCCGAAGAATCTTCCCGGGGTTCGGGCTCAGCACATGTTTACACTTACCTGGAAATAAGTCTCATCGAATGTAATGGTACAAACTTTTGGGTTGACACGCGTTGTTGAAACACTCGGGGACCAGTGGAAAGTGTGATTCTGGTTAGGGAGCAAAGAGCATTGTAAAACCGTGTTGTGAGAAACACGGTGTTATAAAGAGCCCGTTGTGATAGAAGATCTTAATAACTCAATATTGTGAAACTAGGACCTAACATTCACTCGGAGAGGTTTAACACTGCAGAAAGTAATTGGCCCATTTCTAGTGATGTGTAGTATTTGATAGTCATACTAGCTTTCCTCAATCTGATGTCCTTCAGTTGCGTTGGACTACAGTTGACATAATCCGTTAGCCAGCATTGCTGATGGTGGGAAATAGATGTGCCCCAGTAGCTTGTAAAGGCGATCTTTAACATTCACTCTTAGGGTCTTGTATTGAGTTGTACTTGCACAAAGATGTGATACGCTTAATGATTCCTTTTGTTTTCTTGGGCCCACACATACTGCCCCCTATGCCTATTTAGGGGACTATTTCATGCATCTGAGGAGGTGTGCTCTAGTTTAGGAAGAGGATGCCTACTTATAAGTAAGTTCTATTAAACAATAGAACAGACATTCCCAACCTGGGGTCCTCCAGATATTTCACCATGTGTTCATGAGCTGAGTCCAAATTTTAGTCTTTGTAATTTTAGAAGGGTGAACAGTATTTGCAGCAGAGGCAGCTTGTGCCTGGCCAAAACAGCACTGAACTGAATGTTCCAGCATGAATAAAGTATTTTCTGTCTAAATAGAATGTGCATTTATTATGATTCCTCCTGCCACCTGAAGATAGTTCTAGCCCCTGCTTTGTGTTTCCGGTGAAAACAACGTTCTAAAGTCATGGGAAACAAAGTGTGAGACAAACTGCAAAATGCCATACCCTGAAAATGATAACATGGGATATTTAGAGATGTCAAGGAACGTACAAAGCAGTTTTTATCTTTCCTAATAATGAAGATGGATTAGATCACAGCTCAGTTTCTAGGTAGAATTGGATGAAATGTTTTTCTAATAATGTAGTCTTTTCTGCTCACTTTTACCACTGATCTTACATTCTCAACCAGTTGTCATGTGCTGAAATTATTCCTGAAATTGTTGTATGGAACTTTGTTCTGCTTTTATTTTTTTTCCTCTCAGCATTGAATTTTAAATACGTTATTGTGTTAACTAGCCGTACTAAAACCCTCTTAAACAGCCCCATAATTCTAGATGATGGGTAGCTTCTCTGGATTCTCATCTGGATACTTGTCATCTCCTTAGTGCCTTCTTTCACCAGTTTAGCTTCCTGGACCCAGGCCCAGTGTTTTAAAACTTGTCCTTTAATATATAGATTGCTCCAGTTAATCCACTTTCAGTGCCTCCTTGTATTATTGCATTCTGGTTCAGAAGGTGCAAAGCTGGTAAATTTGCATTCAAATATGAACCAAATAATTGTTTTAAAAAATCTTTGCCTGGTGTGCAAGAAAGAGATGAATGTAAAGAGAATCGTTAGCAGCTGCTATTTCCTGTGTGCACACATATCTTATTGAAGGGATATAATCACACCAATAACCAAGTGTTAAATCCTGTCAGATCTAGGTGCTAATAGATTTTCTGTCAGCTTCTAACATCCTTTAGCCTGTACAGTGTTTGGGTAAGTTGAAAAAGGTGCTTTAATACTATAAAATTGAAGTATCCTTATATCATGTTGTGTATTTCTCTACCACTATTGACCAGTTTTGTGACATGGAGGTTATCTTAACAGTATTATCATACAAACAAAAATACATTTTAGAGCATATTGTAGAGGCAGAAAAAGAAAACTCAGTTGGGGCTGAATTTTGGGTAATAAATGGCAAAGAAGTCCACCAGAAATGCAGGCTCCAAGTACAGTGAAGAAAAGAAATATGATTGCCCCTGCAAATACTTGAAGGATGTCATATAATAAATGAGTCAAATTTATTTTGTCTGGAAAAAATACAGTACAAATTTGTATTGCTCTAGAGGATAGACTGATGCATTAAAGTTACAAGAACAGAAATTTAGACAAAATACTTTATTGCACAGTGGCTTAAAAATTGATAGGTGCTTATGGATGCAAGTACAGTGGTACCTTGGCTCATGAACTTAATCTGTTCCAGGACTCTGGTCATGACCCAAATTGGTCATGAGCCAAGTTAAATTTCCCCATAATGTCCAATGTAAATAAGGTTAATCCATTCTGTAACTATTAATCAGAAAAATGTGAAGAAGCAAAGTGACAAAGAACAACAAAGATCGCGGCCATCTCCCCACCACCACCCTAAGCACAAGTGCGGCCATCTCCCCGCCCCCCGAGCACGTCTGTGATTACACCTATCATCCCTGCACATGCCTGTCATACTGGTGCACCGGGGCGGGGGGAAGAGACGGGTGTGAACATGGGCGTGGTATGGGGGAGAGATGGGCACGAATGCGGGGCGCGCTCGGGGGGGAGATGGGTGCGATCGTGCTGAGGGGGAGATGGCTGTGCAGGAAAGACAGGCGCAATCACAGGCGTGCTACAGGAAAGATGGGCGTGATTTTGGCCTTCTTTCCACCCCCACCCCCAGCATGATTATGGCCATCTCCCCACTCTTGGGGGGTTAGGGAAATGGCCGCGATTGTGGTCACCACTCAATGCAGAGTTCACAACCTGAGTCAAAATTTTAATGAAAATTTTGTTCTCGACCTTATTTGGTTGTGAACTGAGGTGTTCGTGAGCCAAGGTACCATTGTACATGTTGCCTGCAGTGCACCCATCCTATTCCACTTTAGTGTGCAATCCATGATGGGCATTTTATTTATTTATTTTTCGATTTATATCCTGCCTTTTTCTACAAAGGGCTCAAGGCAGCTTACATCTCCTCCTCCATCTTATCCCCACAACAACAACAACCCTGTGAGGTAGGCTGGGCTAAGAGTCTGTGACTGGCCCAAAGTCACCCAGTTGGCTCCATGGCTGAGCAGGGACTAGAACCCAGATCGCCTGAGTCCCAGTCCCACGCTCTTAACCACTATACCACACTGGCATCTTCATAGGTTGATGTAATGGGCAGTTTTTAAGGGCCTAAATCAGCTATTAACCCATGATTTGTTTCTAGTTTACCCACAGGGTTGTTTAGTCCCTAAAAAATGCAACCAAATGGGTTCACACATCACACTGCACAAGCTATGCTGCCAGTCATGGATTGTGCACAAAAGTGTAAGAGGTAGATGCTACCCTAAAGCCTCACAGTCTTGCCATCTGGTTTTATCAGGGCAGCATTCCTGCCACTTAATAGTCTTTATGAAGTTACTTTTATAAAATAGAAAAAGTGGTGATTCTTAGCATATGCAAGCTTTGGCATCCCAGTTCTTTTTCTGTCACTGGAGAATTTCTGCAGAATCAGTCTAATGTTACTTCTGTAAAGGAAAAACAATGTCAAGATATTCTGACAAGTTGAAAATCACCAAATCGCCATAAACAGGAAAGTTGCATGCATAATTCCAGCTGTATTTCATTTATTTATTTTAGAACTTGTTAAAAGCTGTCCGAGTGTTTAGGTGGCTTACAACAAATATAAAATTGCAATTTAAAAAAATTGAGAGACAGATCACCAACAGCATAGAAGAACAACAAAAAAGCAATCAACAAAAATCAAATCGGCATAAAACTAATTAGCAGAGTCAAAATAAAAAGTTCAGATTAAAAAACATGGAAAAATAAAAGGGTATTTTCCTGATGTTGACATGGCATCGAAGTAGATGGCAGGTGAGTTATCTTGGATTATGTGAGTCCATGTATTTTGTTTGTGTGTGCATGAATGCTCATGCAACAGAACTAAGTCACATCATAAGCTTTTAAAACTAAACTTTGTTAAACAAGCTTCATGTCAGTTGAAATAGGAGGCCCGCAGGCTGAACAATTTAAGAAAAAGACATTGTTTAATTAGGATCACAATGCACAGTACTGTTAGGCACAAAAAATGGATTTGGACATCTGTGAAGCTTATGCAGTGAGATTCTTAACTGTAGTCCTTTCATGTATTAAAACATCTTGTGGTTTTATTTCTATTTTTTAAAAGTTTTGGATAACTGCATCTAAGTCAATCATAATTCACAAATTAGAATCTAGCCCAAATAACATTTACTGTTTAGAGTATATGTAAACTTACTGTTTTGTTATTTTTCTGGAATAATGCCCATGCATTATTATTATTATTTAGTATTGGTAGTGTGGTAACTTTTCTAAGGGAGAAGAAGCAAAACCTCGCTGTAGAATGAAAAGACTGCTTTGCTTGGGCACTTGAATGTTGTTTTTCTCTAAAGTCAAGTCAATGAACTAGCAAAACTGACTAGACTAGATTGTAAGCTGCGCCTTGTCTACTTATGTTTGCCGCCAAAGGCAACTTTGCATTAAGCTCTTGTGTCAAAACAGTTGCTTTTTTCATGCAGTAAAGTTCAGGGATGGTAGTGCATGAAAATATAAGCCATTAAAAACAGTTCCTGGAATACATAATTAATCCAGGGCAGGAAGAATTATAAAATATCTACTTGGAATCACACTAATGCGTTTATTGCTATATTACTGGTTCTACTTATGAAGGTTAGTTTCAGTATTTCCAGTCCACACTGAAGTCCAGTGGAATTCAGGCAGGCCTCTGTCTTAACCCATGAAGATGTGTAAATAAAGTCTACATTCTACTGACAGATCCGAAAGACTAGTTTGCACAAAGTTTTCCAGTTTAAAGTTCATGTAACTTGAAGAAATTTCTTCTGCATTATGGCTTATGTTAAAATCATTTCTATGGGAATTAAGTATGCTTAACATTTCATACTCTTCACTTTCCTGGTCCCAGTGGTAGTTGCACAAATGTTGTATTTTTTAAAAATGTCCATTTTTACTCGGTTGCAAAAATGATATGGCTAAAGAAATGTCACCATTGATGAGGCTAGGTGCCAGCAAGTGCTAATAAATTAATTCTGTTAAATACTGGAACTGTAACAGAGTGTGTGTCACCTTAAAGGTTAACACATTTATTGTGGTATTAGTTTTTCTGTACCAGAACCCACTTCAGGTACTGAAATGGCAACTTAAGTGGATATATATACCTGGAGTACCAAAAGATAAGAGAATTGATTGCTTTTAAAAGGTGAGGTGAAAGAAGCAAGCGGTAGCAGTAGTCACATTACTGTGTCCAAGTACTATCAAGAGCAGAAACTAATAGAGAATCCAATGAATAGAATATCCAATCAGCATGGGTGTTATCCACTGAAAAGGCTAATTCTTAAAATACTAATTCTCTTGGAGCAAACTGAGACAAAGCAAGACCTGAGAAACAATCTCGCAGTCAAATCAGTCAGGCAAAGCTTCAACGTAATCGGAGTCTTCAGTTTCTGTGGAAGAAAGGTAAATCTGATTTAGTGGAGCAAGAATATTTCCATGCAAAGCTTTTATTGTCATTCTACCTCATTCATAGAATTTTATGGATGAGGCGTCCAGATAATATTTAACATTCATAGACCTCTTGTGCTTTTCCTCCTTTCATCTTTAAGTGTGGAAAACCCATTAAATAAGGGAAGATAGAATAGTTAAATCATACAGCACACTATTATATATTTATTGTATTTATATCCTACTCTTTCCTTGCAAGGAACTAAGGCAGCTTACATAATCCTCCTCCCCTCAATCTTATTTTCACAGCAAGAAACTTGTGAAGTAGATTGGGCTGAGAGTATGTGACTGGCCCAAAGTCACCCAGTGAGCTCCACAGCTGAGTGGGGACTAGAACTCTGAACTCCTGAGTCCCAGTCCAGGACTCTTACCCACTACAACTCACTGGGGGTTGCAGGGCTTAGAATGTCTTTTGAATTTGTACTACATCCTGGTGGTTTATAAGCCAGGCTGGAATAACATATTTCAATTCGTCATAACTTGGGCCGCCGCCCAATGTGGAGTCCTCGACCTGAATCAAAATTTTTATGAAATTTTTGTTGGTGAGGCGTTTGTGAGCCGAGGTACCACTGTATATACTGTGTACAGTGAAGATTTTGTGGATTGATTTTTCCTTTGTTTTTACAAGTGAGGTAAGTCAAAGAAGAGATATAAGTAGGTATGGATTTTGTTGCTGGCGGGATTAAAATAGAGGAGAGATCTGCCATGGAGAAGCACTGTGTGGAATGCTTATTTCTTCCACCTCCAGCCTTTACGCCTGCAGTTTTCTCCTTGATGCTGTTTTATGTCATTGAGGGTTTTGGGCACCAGATGTCAGCATAGTATGTAGTTCCAGCTAAAATCTGCCTAAACCTTTTCTTATTTAAGAGAGGTACCAAATAAGTATTTCCTCTCCACTGATACTTGACCTGTGTTTGGAAGCCCTGTTGTGTGCTATTGGGAAACCCAAGATCCATGTTACTGTGCACAGTGTTTTAGTATATATGCTTAATTCTGAACTTCTAGCCATTTTAGAACTCACTAATCTGTTCCAGCTTTGATGCAGAGGATTAATAATTTTGGATATTTATCTGCTATTCTGTAATAGGTCAAAGTCTAAATTGATGTTGGTTAGAGAGATTATATCCCATAGAATGTTAACTAATTGGCAATTTAGATTTTATGCCAAAATGTTTGTCCTTAGAGATATCACAATTATCTTTAACCTGGGTAGTTGATAAATGAGATCTCATGGGACATTCATAGGCATTGTTAAAGCTAAATTTAAGAGGTAGATTAAAAATACTTAAAATGAATGTAATACTTTGAATTATTTATGATTTCCATGGTATGGATTTATTTACATTTGGCAACTATTTTCAGATGCTTAATGTTTTGTTTTGTAAAATTTTATGGGTTTCCATCTGTCCCCAGATATGCTTGAAAATGATGCCTCTTTTGATGAAAAAGGCTGGATTTGGCCTTCCTGTGTTTCTTATATCAGACTTATCTGTTCACTTGTACTAGAGTTTGGTCTTTTCCACTTAGACTAGATTCTTTCCCCTAGTCAGTCCTGGAATCTTGATGTTTGGATCCTCTTCCCAAATTGATTGCATTGGTCTTTTACACCAAAACAGGTAATATGCTTCCCACAGTCAAAACAGTCAGAGTGGTATGGGGCATATTTTCTTGTCAATTGAAGTTTGACGTTTTCTCTGGGGAAATCTGGACTTAAGCACTGGCAAGAAAACAGTTGTTGGTGGGACTTAGGTTCATTTCCCATACAAGGGATTTAAGCAAGAATTGAATAATGAATTAGATCTTCCTGTTTTCTTAATCAGCGGAATGGTTTGTTGTCATCTATTTTATAGGTGGTAATGGATTTTAGATTGTGTTTAATTTAGCAAAAATGGATATCTCAAGTATACTGGATACCACAATATCTTTCTGCTTACTTAAATCAGCAGACTGTTAGAATGCATCTCTTATTTGTATGAATGGGCATTCCCCAATGGCTGCTTACTTTTGGGAGGAGGTGGTAATTCAGAAAGAAATTGTGATGGAAAGTTCTTTACTATTCAGTGATTCAAATGTCCTTCTTAATACCCTACCTGTTTCTCAAAATTCTATGCAAGGCAAAAAGGCTAATACTACAACATTGGAGGGATAACTGGCCATTTGTGATAACAGTAGGTAGATGATTTAATCAAACTCTCTATTTCTGAATGTTTGGTCTCTAAGCATAATTTATAAATAGATATAATTCATGATTTGTATGGATATTTGTACTGCCTTTGTTAAAATTTATGCCTAATTATCTTTAACAGCTAATTACATCTTTAACATGTCCTGTTAAAACATCTTTAACATGTCCTGCTACATAAACAGGGATGTATAGCATATGTATTTATTGTTATGGATTTGTTTAAATATTCTGTAAGAAAATTATATTACATTATCTTCCTCCCCCCTCTGTTTCACTGAGTTAATTAAGTTTTGTTGTGTAACACAATAAAAAAATAAATAGGAAAACTATCTTTGCTCCTTTGCAATCCATATACTGATACTTTCTTGCCAGTCTTCCAGAGTCAATATTATGTCTACTTTGCTGTTCCATATCAACAGCTCCATTTTTGAAGGAAAACAAATAAAATCTATTTTTGTAAGAAAAAAGGATGATTGGTTATAATCACTCAATTAACAGCATTCACTTGCTTGCTACTAATAATTCTATTTCTAGCAATATAAGCCTGTTGATGCCAGAGCTGAACCTAGCAATACAAAGGAAGTGCTTGATCACTGAGCAATGGTCCTATACATTCCCACTGCTTCTCCAATTACTACATTCAGCTTTATTTTGCAATGAAGCTATTCTGAACATTAGATCTGATACCTAAGTTTGATCTTACGCGTACCTGTTTAAGGTCCATATTCAGATCCTGGCTAGCCAGAAGACCCAAAAATGGGACTGAGCTATCTTTTCAGTCTTACTTATTAGAGGTGCTTCTCAAATTATGCTGTTATAATACACCAGTTTCCTCCAAGCTCATTAGAGGTCAACAATTCCACAAGTCTAACCTAATGTTTAGAATAAGGAAATAATTGCACTGGCTGAACCTCCAAGGGTTGCAAGAGCAACCTCAGAAAAGGAGTAAAGAAGCCATTCTAAGGAAGGAGAGGAGGGCACAGCAGCTTTCCACCCACTGTGAAGTGACACTGAATTTAAGACCAAATATTTGGATCATCTAGTTGCATTGCATAGTGGAAGAAGTATGGAAGCAGCCTTTGCCTCTGTGTTTTCTTCTCCCCTGCATAGGATGCATGTATGTTTGGAGGCTTATGGGCATCCTTATTGGATTTGTAATTGTACCCTCAGATGTACAGGATCAATTTATAGTATTCATCATATACCTTGTGTATCTCTTACCAGTGTTCATATAGTTTTGATCTTCAGATACATAGGGATTGTGAAATTCTTGGTGGTGTGTAGGTCTGTTCACAGGATAGCGCAGATTGATTACTAGCCCTTGATTTGGTTTTCTATAGGTAGTAATTATATCCTTTAAAGTTTTGAAGTCTTGTTTTAACATACTTTCAGAAGCCTGCAAAATAAGTAGATTGTGGCTAAATTTACAATAAAATATAAAATGAGATGTTTCCTACACAAAAACTTTAGGTAGGTAAGATGATGTTCAGAGAAAATTATAACTAGCATGGCATTTCGAAAAAGCAGCTCTCACAATATTTAAAGAACACCCATTAAAAAACCTGACTCTTGGTTTCTCCCTAGTCAGAATCCAGGCTGTAAGAGTGGGGTGACCCCAATATATAGAATGAATGGATGCTGAAAAATAATGTTATCCAAGCACATTCCTACTTTAGAATGGTTACATTAGTGGTGTTATGCATGGTAGCATGGAATATTCGTTTAAATGTTTTTTCCCCCTGTGTATTTTAGGTAGTGGTACAAGGAATACACTAGCAGTAGCAGGTTTATTAGATTACCTTAACAGACACAGACATTTTCTTACCTGAATCATAAAATGTCCATTATGTTTTCTGAAGATTCGGTAAGTATAGATCCTCTGTTCATAGCTGTTTTGGAGAATAGGAAACATTAATGGATGGAGTATCTATTGGTGAGATGGCTGGGACACTCAATTTTGAAGAATCATACAAATATTGGTTTGTGGGATAGGGCATAAAAACCCATCCAGTTCTTACAGAGAGAAAAAGCTGTGTGGTCTACCAGGTACATGGTTGTAGTCTGTTTGCACATTATGCTTGAAATGACCTGTAATTGCTGCTGGCAAGTTCTCAGTTACCGCTAAAGAAAAGGATCTCACCAGGATCTAACCTGCTATATTTACTTACTAGAAAAGTACATGTGCACCATCTTCTGATGGTAGCTGGATTGGTAACAGTCACCTGTTGCCATCCGATGATTTAGAAAAAGAGTTCTAAATCAGTATGCAAAGAAACATCTTTGATGCATATTAGTAATGTCTTAATTGCATTTTTCTGTTGATTAGGCTATATATTTAGTGTTAGAAAAACAAGTACTCTGTTTCTACAACATGAAAAAAATCTGACAAATTAGAACAACCACTTCTGTGAAAAGCCTAAATTCAGTACAGATAAATTTCCAATTTTATTTGCATGTATGAACTCCTGTATATTGATGAAAAACCATGAGTGATTGAGATCAATCAACTGGCTACAGTTGCTATAATCCAAATATGTATAAGAAGTGTCTTCAGTGTATAGCTTGTCCTTTCGGATTTGTTCCTCCATGTCTGAAAGGGTACAGCTCCTCTCCCACATGTGCATAAGAGAAGAGCTGATGGAGGTAGATGCACATCATATGGGTGAAGTATTAATCTAGCAAAAACCCAACTAGACAACATGTCGCTTAAGATTTTTTATTAAATCTTGTGGGTAGAGAGCACTTAACTTCCATTTTCTATGGAGCTATAGGAAGCTATTTACCAAGGCTTGGAAATATGGGTATTGTACCTTGGAGAATTTTCAATGTATTCATACCAAAATTGCACTTTTAATAAAAATATAGTCTTACATATTTATTCATGTAATATTCAACTCACCTTTCAATCTTGACCTGTTTCAAAATGCATTTTTAACAAAAACAGAATCAATTTTATACAGGCACATTAACACCTGGGATGATATATGTATATAACTGGAAGAACTTTTTTCAGGTCCCCTCTGCATGTTTTTAAAATACTAAATAAAAGATTGGGCTCTATCTATAGAAAATCATACTTACGTGCCATTAAGATTAATGCTGTATTCTGTTAGGCATCTTTAACTTAGGGACAACTAAATTTCGCTGAACTTGAACTTTTTTTTTCAGAAAAGGAGCTTCTGTAAGAAAAGGAATACTTACAAAACACAAAGGCACAGTACTCCTGGTATGCTCTCGCTGTTTCGAATTAAAAAGCTTCCATTTTTTCCATTTTTGCTCAGTATTTCTTCACAATGTTCTTTAGTTATATTGCCATGGAAACACTGAATTTCCATTTACCTTTAAAGATGGTTTCCAGATTAATTTTGAATTTTCAGATGAAAATTCTTAAGATTTTGGTTGATCTGTTCTCTGTTGAACTGAAACTCTTGAGCAATAGGTACTGAAAGTTACACTGTTCTTTGGAGGCTGTTCAACCGTTGTGTTGCTACACAGCATGAGTGTTTTTCCCCTATGCAAAAGCTAGGAAGACAACACAGGAAATTGAAAAATGGAATAGTCGTCACGTAACCACATAAAGCAAACGCTTAAGGTTTTTTTTTGAACAAGGGTTTTTTTAAAGCTGTTGGGGTGGAGGCATGAAGGTTAACCTAATTAATTTAGTATAATTCATTTATTGCACTAATCCCCCCCCCCCGAATATAGACAGATGTTTTGCACTAAGAAATGGTTGGTTCTGAAAATGAAGGGATATAAGCAGTGCAGTCTCTCCCAAAAGATCTGTATTGGAACTGTCCAACTGGAGTGATCCACTTAGCCAGACCATACTAAGATACCCAGATCTAAAAACATAAAATCTGTGTTTTGCAATAAGTTTTGCTAAAGCTAAAAGCTAGATCATCTGGATGCTGAAATTGCAGGTTAGATTATGTGCTGAAGTCATCTCAAAGCTGAGCACCTCACCTCCACTTAGTAAATCTTTTGACTAGTAAACTGCCCAGGTGCCTAAAAATTAATATTCTAGAAGCCATCTTAGTACCGGCAATGAATGTTTATGGGACGTTGAACAGACAAAACCAAGATTCTTCTGGAATCTCTGTCCAGGTCAGAAGGAGAGACTGAATGAAACATACCGTACTCGGAAAGTAAGTTCAGAGACTTCTTTTTTTATTTATTTTTTATTTATTTATTTATTTTAAACTTTTGTATACCATCCACCATTCATTCATTCATTCATTCATTCATTCAGAGTTTTATTTGTTTACCATGTGGTCTTGGGACGGTCTTACAATAAAACAAAGTGGAACATGGCATTTGTGCTAAACACAAGTTTCGCACAAAGTAGAGTTGTTGAAGGCATTAAAGGAAATTGTACCAAGGCATTTTTTCCAGTACAAATGCTAGAATATAGGTTTTCCCAAAAGAGAGAAAAAGACTAGGCACATGCACCATTCAGACTGCTGGTTGTCAAGGAACCAGGTAGCTTAATGTAGGGCTATGCTAGCTAGACTATATTTTCTGCTTATTTGCCACTTTCCACTGGAACGTCAACTTAAAATAACTTACTGCTTATGCTTGAAATAGACTTCCCTTTTCCCGATCTATCCCTTTTTGTCTGGATCCTTAATAAATCTTTTACTTTGTGTTCAGCAAAAAGTCACAAGTAAGAGACTGTTAGGAAAGGAATCCAAGATGTAGTCCCTCTCTCCAAGATGCACACCTTAATGTGGTGAGTGGTTTTGAGAGTCAGAGGAGCTGAGAGCGATGCAACAAGGAGGGCAAACTCTCTCACTAGGTGGACCTCCTAGCAGGGTCACAAAAATGGAATTGGACAAAGCAAAGACACCAGGCTAAGGTGCGTCAGTAGGAACACTTACATCAACAGAAGATAATATATATTTCTAGTGGTGATGAGGGCAGAGAAATGTCTGTAGGGCAGCTGTTGGACTGTAGCAGAAGCTGAAGGCAACATTGGTGGAGGGTCTTTCACAGGCAATGGCACTGACACTCAAGCTAACTCTGGTTAGTACTGTGCAGATGAAGACAATGGTAAACCATTTCTGAATCTTCTTACCTTGTAAACCCTAAGATGAAATAAAAGGAAACAAGAGATAAGTGCCAGAAGATTAGACTCCCAGGTTAAAAAGCACTCAACAAGCTACCAGGGAAGAACAAAGCACAAGTACGAGTAGTGCCGCCATTAATGATGCACCTAGAACAAAACCAAGGGGAAGTCTAGCAGCTGGCATTCACCGTGATTAGAGGGAAAGGTTTTGTATTGTATTGTATTGTATTTGGGTATTTTTATCCTGTCCAATTACGACACGTCTCTGGATGGCTTACAAAAGCTCAGTGCTGTACAGCGTATGTCATTGGAACATGGAACATGAGAAGTATGAATCAAGCTGAACTGAAAATTGTAACTTGGGCAGTGAAATGGCTAAGTATTGCAATAAGTTTGTGTGAACAAACTAAAATAGATCAGAATGGGACATTTACAATCAGACAAACACAAAGTGTTTTACTCTGAAAATGCCAAATTCAGATGTAAGCATTGGAGCGGTTGTAATACTAAGGAAAGTTGTAGCATAGGCAGTAAGGGGCTATAATACAAAATATGGACAAGTACTATTACTCAGAGTTTGTGGGAAAGCTATCAACATGACTGTTATTCACTATGCTCCAACAGCAGATGCTGAAGAGAAATGTTTAAAAAATGCAGATGTTCAAGAGGAAACGGATGATACAACAAAACAAGACATTAAGCTGATCCCTTCTTTCTTTCCTTCTGGTTACTGAACTTAAGACAATCCTTTGATTGTAATTCTTTTGTTAAAACTTAACAGATTATAGAATAGTATGAACTCTAAATAGCCTTCTGCCAAAGTTGAGAGGGAAGCAACTCCCCATGTAAAGAGTTCAATCTAAACTGAAAACTCCCCTTCTGTCCCTTGCTTTCAATAAAGTTTCTCTACCTCAGGGTACCTCTTGTTGCTTGAGGGCAAGCAATCAAGAATGGTGAATCCCCTCCAACTGATCTGCTCATTTCTCTGCTTTGCTTCTTTACTGAGGCAAGGACTAGGTCTTGCACCTGCTCTCCTTCCCATCATGAAAACCCTACTGCCCCTTCTGCTGATTCTCACACCCTGCCTTAGAAACTTCATGCAGTAACCTTGAAACTTCAAAGTCCTCTTGTTCTTTCACCTCCTCCTCAGAATCAGACAAATCTATTTGAACAATCTACAGTAAGCGAGAGGTGGCCCCACTCTCTACAGACATGCTCATAATGCTAGATGACGAACACAAAAGTAGGCAACAAAGTGGAATCAAATCTTGTAGGAAAAATTGGCCTGGGGTAAAAAAAAAATTTGTGAGACAATGACTCATAGATTTTATGACGTCAGCAATCTATTGCAAATACATGCTTCACGCAACTAACCAAGCAGCTGTATACATGGACACCACCAGATAGCCTATGCAGAAATCATATAGATATAAATGGAAGCAGAAGATAGAGAAGCTGTATTCTCACTGCCAAAACAAGAACAGGAGCAGATTGGACCATGATGTCTTAATATCAAAAACCAGAGTAAAACTGAAAAAGATCATTAACAGAAACATAGTGCCTAAATACAACTTACATAAGTTTACATAACATAAAGAACAGATCTGAATTAATGTGATGGTCTGTGAACTAGAAGAACTGTGGATGGAAATCAGAGATACAATCTAGGAAGAATGCCAAAAGAAAACGCCTATAGCCGAAAGAAAGAAAAGGCCTAGATGGATGACAGAAAAAACACACTTGATAAAGATAGGGGAGAAGCATAAGCAAAAGATGAGAGAAATAAGGTCAGAATCCTGAATGCAACTTTTTAGTAATCATCACACAGGAACAAGAACTATTACAATGGCCAGTGCCATAAGACAAGTTTTCATCTTTCGACCATTCAAAAGCCACATACTGTTTTCCTTGCAAAAACATTATTTAATGACAAGACTGAGGCTGTCATGTTTTGAGAAGGCTAGGGAAAGCTGAAAGTAGAAAAAGAAAGGGCACACCATGTATAAGTTGGATTGAATCCATAAAGGAAGCCACAGCCTTGCATTTACAAGAGCTGAGCAGGACTTTCATGGACAGGGCTTCCATTCATTGGGTTGCCATACACTGAAGAAAATTTGACAGCACATGCCATCAATTGTAATGGCCATATACAAACTAAGATACAACCCCTCATTGCTGGAATAATTTTTCTGTAAGGAAAAGTTACAGTGTTGGGACTATTTTTAGCTTAGAAAAAAAGTGTCAAGTAATGGGAGACATGACAAGTTATAAAAATTTGGTAGAACCCTAGATCATCCAATAAAGCTGAATAATGTAAAATTCAGGACTGATAAAGGGAAATACTTCTCGAGGTATGTAATCAAAGTATTGAATTCAGGATGCCAGGATGCATCTATGGGCACTTAGATGGCTTTTAATGGGAATCAGACAAAGGTATAGAGGATAAGACTGTATTAGTAGCTATATATTGCTCTAAAATCAGAAACTGTATGCCTTTGAATATCAGTACCTTGGGAAGGTGTAATTGTGCTCATGTAGGCACATGGACACAAGTAGGCCTCTGGTTGGCCATTGTGTGAACATAATGCTGGACTTGTTATGGCTTTAGTACAATGCAGCATACCTCTTCTTCTTTATTTATTTCCATTTCTATTTCTATGCCATCCCATAATCTGATGGTTCTCTGGGCAACTTACAAGTGATAAAACAGTATTAAAAAGACATTGAATACAATAAAACAATAAGAAGATAAAATAGATAAAGCAATAAAATAATAGGTAACATCTCCTAATAAAATATACCCACACACAAAATACAACCAATAAATTAACCAAAATTAAAATAAATAATCCAGAATAAGATATAAAAGAATTAAATGAACCAAAAATTTGTTTAAATAAAAAAGTGTTCACCTGGTGCCTTAGAGTTTGGCACCATCCATATATCCCTGGGGAGTGAATTCCAGAGTCTAGGTGCAACTGCTGAGAGTGCCCTTCTCCTAGTCCTTTCCCCTTTGATCTCCTCCAAGGGCATTCAGAGGAGGACTTCTGAAGAGAATCTAAGTGGATGGGTAGGAATATATGGAGAAAGGCACTTCCTCAGGTTCCCTGGTTCCAAGCTGTTTAGGGCTTTATATGTCAAAGGCAACACTTTGAATTGGGCCCGGACTGGAACAGGGAGCCAATGCAGCTTACAGATGACCAGCGTAATATGTTCCTGCCACCCAGTCCTCGTAAACATCCATGTCATCCTATTCTGTATTAGTTGTAATGTCCAGACAATTTTCAAAGGTAGCCCCACGTAGAGTGCATTGCAGTAATTCAGGTGAGAGGTTACCAGTGCATGCGTCACTGTGGCAAGGCTCCACTAAGTAGGAACATAGCTGAGAAATCAAATGAAGCTGACAGAAGGCACTCCTGGCCACCGAGTCTACCTGAGAAACCAGGGAGAG